AAGATCATTGAAAAAGCTTGGTTTAACGAGCGAAACATGTAGATCGTGTGTCTGGTGGGACTTTTAAATCTACAACAATCACAGCAGTGCTTGGAAGCCGGCGTTCTTGTGAGGGACCGATCCAAGTGCACAGGACGGTTCAGAAAGATCTGTATTCACAGAGCGACAGCAAGTAATAAAGACACAGATTTTACGTATATGCTACTGTTGCAGCAACTAATCCCTGTGAATTGCTTGGAAGTATCCTCAATTAAGACTGAAATTGGAACTCTTTGATGGACAAGACATTTTTGGGTTGAACCCTGTGTTTACTACATAGGGGTATATTCACTTAGCGCTGATACTAATTTTGTTTTTATGTCCATAGGAAAGCATTGCAAATGCTTTCCTATGAGACCGGCTGAATGCGCGTGCACATTCAGCCGAATGGGAGGAACGGAGGAGGATCGGAGGAGGAGAGCTCCCCGCCCAGCGCTGGAAAAAGGTAAGTTTTAACCCCTTTCCTCTCCCCAGAGCCGGGCGGGAGAGGGACCCTGAGGGTGGGAGAGTATGTTTTCCTGGCACTATAGTGGTCCTTTAATGGTACTGCAGTGACATTAAATAGTCTAAACGCCATAACATCAATATCCCAACATTAATTGTAATACTATTCTACTATCCAAGATACCAATGTGTCAAAATTGGTTGCAGCAGATGCATTACAAGAGTCTTGGATGCTGTGAAAAAAAGTCTCAGTAGAATAATATTACCTGCAACAAAATATCTGCAATAGTCCCATATTGATTTTGGATTCTAATTTCCACTTGAAACGTAACCTGGTAAAGATCATGAGAAAGTGAAACATTCTTTCAGATGAACAGAAATGTTTGGTTTTTTTTCCTCTTTTTTTGTCATAGCTACCAGTGTAGGAACAATGATGTATCAGAGTAATAAAGTGCACACTATATGCTAAAAACTATAAAATATAAATGATGAATTCTAAAAAAGTTACCTGTATGATTGTTAAAGTTCTTCTTTGTTACAGAATACCCGGAGATCCACCCCGGTTAGCACATCAGCAGTTTCAGGTCTGAGTGGGCAAGACAAATGTGTAGCAATTATAAACAGTGGGTTGATACTAAACAGCCAACACCCTATAAAAGTGATAATACTGGTTATTTCAGTTTTAAAATTGTCCTGCATCTAATAAACTCACAACATCCAAAAATGGATAAAACAACTTGAAATACAAAGAATTTCTGGGTAAAGTGCGTGCAGTGCTATATAAGGGGCAAATCATGTGAGGACAAGAGGGTGCAAGCTAACATCTCAAGCTGCTTATTTTGCCCACAATGCTAAATACTAACCCTCTCTGCATTCTAATACCATAGGTGTGTGCAGTCTTTGCCTTTGAATAATAAAATGCCACACTCCATTCTTCACTTCTGCAATCGAGTAAAGTATTGTGAGAAATCGTGTCCAGAACACAGTATTCTGCTCCATTAGAAAAACCTATCAACTTCTGTGTACTGTAAAACCCGTTAAACCAGAGACTTGCTGAATATTTACTTGCTTGCAAAACAAGGAAATTCCCTGCAGGCCATGTTCTGCAACATCTTTCTAATAATTACACAATACACAAATTATTCACGCTCACTCCGATTTTGTTAAAGGATAAAACAAGTTTATTTTTTCATACATAGAAATTACAACTACACATACATCTAATATATAATTATACGTACAGAAAATACAGTTTGCTTCTGAGATGTAATAGAAATTCAACAAAGTAAACTTCATAAAAATATAAACCCACCAGAGTAGAAAGGAGGTTTGGCATCAATGCTTTGGAGAAACCATGTCACAAAAGGTATATGTTAAAGTATTTGAGTAGGTTTTAGTAGTTTACTACTTAATTGCATTTTTCCCCCTCTAAGCCAGTGGCATTAAACTGTGCCCCCAGATGTTGTAGAGTATAACACCTATAATTCTCTGAAAACTCACAGTCTAGAAGAAAATGATGGAAGCTGTAGTTTCAGATCATGTGACAGGGACACATTTTAATTTTAGCACTCTCTCTCTAAGCCATCTTTCATGTTAAATCAAGAATGGCTACAGAAACTGGGATGTATTATGTGCGCTACAGAAGCACAGTAATCCTGTATATACATGCAGAGTTTGGTAGCGTTCTATTGTGGGTTGGGTCGCAAATATCACAGACACAAACATTTTTTTTCCCACATTCCCCTGTTTCTTGTTGCATCACATGTACATTGCTACAAATCAAATATGGTTTCGTCCTGGGCAAAAGTTGAACTATTTATTATTTAAAAACGGAATAAGTAACTGAAATTGTTTGATGTAATTATCTTTTTAAAAAATTATAATAATTCTGTAGTGTGTCACTATCTGCCAAGCCTTCGATGCAGACACCATGGGAGACATTTATCAAAGTGTCTTGTTCTGAAAAGTAGTGCAAAATTGTAAAACAGAAGGAGTTACAAATGATATGAAGTGCACAGGCAGGACTGAGCACACAGGCAGCATTAATAGGGCAATTGATGGTTATATAAGCAATGTCTTCATTCACTAAGGAACCTTTATCAAGCCTGATAAATCTTAACTGAACAAAAAACATGGTTTATGTGACCATAAACTGTACTCTTTAATTTTCTTCTCCCTGGTGACAGTCCTGCCTATGTACCTCTGTGGAGGAATCTGTCTATTTAAAGGGGGAGGTTAACTTATGGGTTATTGTGTTGCCTACCATTCCAGGAAGGGATTGGTAAACAGTGCCCTAACTGTGTGCTGAGGGTGCAGAAATGCCTTAGCCAGTACATGTTATTGTATTCTATTTAAGGATCGACAAGCAGGCTCTAATAAAGAAGATACATTGGGTGTGACACCATATTCCAATCATTCTGCTTTATTGAAGGAATACAAACGTATTCCTGATCCTATAGCGTAAAAAAATATGTTAGGACCCCAACACTCAATTGCCCCCCTTAAAGAGGTAATAAACTTTCCTTTTTCCAGTGCCGTACGGGTCTCCCCCCACTCTGCCAACTTGGCTGAGATCAGAATTGATTATTTAAGCCAATCCAATGCTTTACCACAAGAAAACATGGGAGGATATTGCGCCAGTCAGCATCTCTTCATAGATATGCATTGATTCAATGCATCTCTATGGGGAACATTCAGCGCCTCCATGCAGAGCATGGAAACATTAAATGTCAGTGTTGCACGACCCAGGAAGCAGCTCTAGTGGCCATCTGAGTATCTGTCACCAGAGGTAAACACTATAATAAACACAGCCTTTTCTCACCAAACACCTAGTGACTATACCAGAAACACATACCAGAATAGGTCATCCAGATGCTCAATGCAATTCCAAGAATTTCCAAAATGTCTATTCTTGCAGATTCTTAGTCATGCGAGTTGTAGAGAGGTACACGTTTGCAAATTTGAGACACCTAATGCCAGGAAATGATGGATCCTAAGATGCCTATTAATAAGTTTGAGTATGTATATAGTACTCAATGGAAGATATCTATCTAGTGTTCTGTGTTCTAAATAATAGTCAGAAGCAAATTTTAAACCAACAATTAATAGTCTACCAGAACAGCTATTAAAATTTCAAGAATAAATGAACAGCTACATAATTTCAAAGTTACCTAAAATGCAAGACAATTAAAGCTGTTATTTAGCTGAGAAAAAGTCAGAAATTACTCCCAGTAAAAGCTTTAATTCAACTGCAAACAGCATTGTTTTCGTTTAACAGTTCCTGGTCAGAAACAAATAGCTGATGTAATTATTCTATTTTACTGGCTTGTGTTGTGACTCATCAAAGGCTACTAAAGCATTGCTCCTTAAATTGTTTCTCCTGTTAGTAATCTGAGTTACAAGATTTAAAATCAGAGTCTATAAGAAATGTATTAAATTTGACACTAGGACAGCATTCTTAAAGTAGCAGTCACCATGGAAACAAATGTAATGCTGCTGTGACTGTTCTGCTTTCAGAATATTGCTCCATAATCATTATTTATACATAAACTTACCACGGCGCTTCAAAATACAAACAAAAAAGTTGGGAAGCACATCCCAAGCACATCAAGCGGAAACAGGGATAAAGAATATATATTAGAATCTGTCTTAAATCATTTATCAAATATCTCTCATCTTCCAACAAACCAGAACATCTCCAGTAAACAGACTGTGTAGCACATGAATGGTTGTGAGATTTTTTTTAACCCTTTGACAGTCATTACTTTATAGAAAAGTATACTAATCTTTTATAATTTTATAAACAATCTCTTCATTAGTCTATTTTAGTCATACCATGGTTGTGTATTATATACTGTCACCAAGCTGCAGTTAAATAAATGTCATAAAGACATATCGTGTTACAGGTAAGAAGCATAGTCATTTTCTTAGGACTACAGAACTACAGACATCTCTCAGTGCTGAATGTTCTGGTACGATTAGTAATTTAGTCAGGCATGTTATACTATGACTCACTTTTTCTAAGCTGTTGAATAACTGATTATTGCATGACAACATAGAAAAGGTCAATGCAGAGAAAACAATAGGATCACAGACAATGTCCCAACCTGGAAGACATGTTTACAGCAATTAGTATGGGTGTTTCTATTACAATTCATGGATAAAGCTTTGCTGAGTCTTAGCATCCCACTTGTGTCATGATAGTGTTAAATATCCACACCTGCCTGCTATGAAAAGCCAGACAACGATGTTGGTATTAAAAGACAATATGACAACAAAAAATCATCACTTGGGTCAAACCCAATTTTCTTTCATTAAACACATGGCAGCTTTGGTTTTTCTGTTTGCACACACACACTCTTAAGCTTTTGGGTCTTCACTAATGAGATAATCATAAAAAATGTGAAGACATCCTCAGGGCACAATGTGTTGCAATGAAGAGCACATCTCACCAGAGAGTCAGGTATGATCCAATTCAATGCACAAAATAACAACTGTTACCCAAATATTCAATAAGTTTAAGTTTGGCTCTGGATGTGAGATATTTCGAGGACTGGCAAAAGAAGTTGGAATGCATCTTGGATGTAGGAAGCACTGTTGGAAGCCTAAAAAGAAAACACTATAAATTAGAAAAGGTGGATTATACCAATAGATTGCACACTATTTTTGGACTTCTGACCACATATTTTTCAGTTTGAATAATGCATGCAATGAATAGATCTAAGTAGGATTGTATCTATAGAATTCTTCACTTACAGCTTGGTCACAGTAATGGGAGTCTTAGCATCTGAATTATATTAAAGGGTTTCTCTATGCACAATTACAAATTTGCATAGTTGCAAAGGTGATGTTCATAGAGCAGCCCATGTCTACTCTCAGCTCTAATAATGGCCCAAAAAATGCAGTGATTTGTAAAAATCCTTGCAGCTCTAAGACTTCTTTTACGAGCTGTCAGTCAGACAGCCCAGAATGAAGCCCATCTAAACCTGTCCCTTAGAGCTGTCAATCAGACAGCCCAAAATAATCTTGCATAGGCATGTGCACATTTTGAATAATATCAACGAGAAATATTATGGGTATAGTGTCTCACCCTCTGCATTTCCTGATGGTCCAGTGGATACAGTAATCACTCCTTCCAGTCCTGGAACTCAGTGAGTGAGAGTATAGGCTGGGCTATTTGACTGATTAACCAAACACTGTAATCAAGGGAGCACTTAAAATAGTCTGCACCTGTCTTAAGTGCAGACCATATGCTCCAAGCCAGAGACTAAAGGTAAGTGCTACGGGGCTAAAGAAAAATAAACAAAATTGGTGCCTGTCCCAAGCATGGGCCAATAGGAGTTCCAAAGCCCTGTCTATATTACTTTTGTCCAAGTTTCACATCAGTGCATGCATGCCACTTGCACAACTTAGCTGAACTCTCTCTCTCTCTTTCCTAGGAAAGAAACAAGAGCTGCAGACTAATGACCAGAGCTGTCAGTAAACTAGCAGCTGTGGTATAGTTTATAGAACAGTGTCACTCATCCAAAGTCATAAGTGGAACTGCACAAACTAGTTATCCCATAAACCCCTGCTGGACAGGTGTGTATGCAATAATCATTAAATAAATAGTGCATCAAGGGTAAAATGCTTTTTTTTTAATCCAATATCTTTAAAGTGCATTAAAACATTTTACTTCATAGTTTTCCTTTAAGGTCATGTGTGAAAACCTAATTTGTATACATTAAAGGACCACTCTAGGCACCCAGACCACTTCAGCTTAATGAAGTGGTCTGGGTGCCTGGTCCAGCTAGGGTTAACCCTTTTTTTATAAACATAGCAGTTTCAGAGAAACTGTTATGTTTATAAATAGGTTAATCCAGCCTCTAAAGCCTCTAGTGGCTGTCTCATTGACAGCCGCTAGAGGCGTTTGCGTGCTTCTCACTGTGAAAATCACATTGAGAAGACGCCAGCCTCCATAGGAAAGCATTGAGAATGCTTTCCTATGGACCGGCTGAATGCGTGCGCAGCTCCTGCCGTGCATGCGCATACAGCCGAAGAGGAGGAGAGCTCCCCGCCCGGCGCTGGAAAAAAGGTAAGATTTAACCCTTTCCTCGCCATCCAGCCCGGCGGGAGTGGGACCCTGAGGGTGGGGGCACCCTCAGGGCACTATAGTGCCAGGAAAACGAGTATGTTTTCCTGGCACTATAGTGGTCCTTTAAGTTTTATTGAAGTGACCTACTCCCCCAAGATGCCATCTCACACAGCTGATGTTAATATTCATGAGCAAACTCTCATTGAAGAGACTTTGCACATGTGCAAACTGTTTCAAATCAGTTACTGAACTGATAATTATCCTATATAATATAATACTGCACCATCTCTGAAGCTGTCATTTCATTGTTACCCAGGAATAGAAAGAGGAAGGGTATGCTCCTAATATGATCAATACTCACCTCTAGAAAAACTCCAGTAATTAATGGGTTTAGAACATCAGACTTTTCTGTAGCCTAAAATGGACATGAAATGTTAATTGCAATTATCTCTCTAACTTTAAAGAAATAAAAGTTTCATGAACACATTAAAGAACAATTAATTATTAGGAACAGAAACCTTTTCTATAGAATACGGGAACTGATGTCTCGTTCCATTTGGACTGTTAAATCCACTATTTTGAAGCATCACAATAGCCTGGAGCAGGAGTAGGCAACCTTCGGCACTCCAGATGTTTTGTACTTCATCTCCCATGATGCTTTGCCAGTATTATGGCTGTAAAAGCATTATAGGAGATGTAGTCCACAACATCTGGGGTGCCGAAGGTTGCCTATCCCTGGCCTAGAATATGCCACCACTTCTTAAATGCATTTATACAAACATTTCACACAAATACACTGCTAACGGGCAATATTTGGTGGTGTTAATCTGGGCTTGAACTCCAAGTGGCCTTTTGAAAATCTCCAGATTTAATTTTGGCACCATTAGATGCCCAGAGTCTCCTGCATATCTGCAATTGGTGGTGTTATTTCTCTCTCAATGTTACAATTTTAATCCTTCTTTGTATATCTTATTTATATTTTCCAATGTTTTGTACATACATTACATAAAGACAAACCACATAAAACAAAAGTTCGAAACTTACTATCCATAGTAAATATTATGAATATTTTTTTTTTTGATTATCATCAGGACATATAAATATATAATACATCAAGTATAGAAAAAGACATTGCCATTAATGTTGAAAAATATTATTTGAGGGGGGATACTCAATTGTTTCCTGAGCACTTTTTTTTTTTTTCTTTCCTCCCTTCCTAAAACTATCAACATCTTGTCACCTTGAGTAACACATTTATATTATACTGTGATAAGTTACAAGGCAAGGTGTTCCTATAGGGCTTTATAAAAGATGAATGGTTTCATTTTTAATAAGTCTCACTCTATCTTAAAGCAGTACCTACTTAACAAAAACCAAAAAAACCATACATTGCTATGCCTATATATTTCTTTATCCTATTTGCCAGTGTTGATCTAGTGTACTGTTTTTTTTTTTAATGTTTCCTTATCATCGTACTCTCCTTAATAATATACATAGGTATAGCAAAACATAGAACATGACACACAACTGCAGTCTCCTTAATTTTCTTCCTGTATCTTTCGTTTCATCAACTCATTTACCTTTAGAATGTATTTAACTATATTTTATATATATTGTATCCTATTCCTTTCCCTTTTGTCTTTTAGTAAGTTATTACTCTTTTTGATCTTTTCTAACCATTCTTTCCATCTTGTATCGTTACTTAAATGAAAGTGTTCATTTACCCCTTGTTCCATTTGGCATTGGTTTATAATTTGGAGTTTTACATCTACTATCTTTGGTGGATGGTAAGATTTCCAATGTTAAGCTATATGTAGTTTTGTGCTAATAAGTATGGATTATTAGATCTTGTTTATACTTTTTGCCATCCTATGTGTATGAGTGCGTATGCAGAAGAATACTCTAGTTTCTTTGATGTCCACTTCTATTTCCAGTTAAAAATTGCATATTTCAGGGCAAGACCACCATATATGTATCGTATCTGCACTCATTTTAGAGGATCTAGATGGATATATTCTAGATATATATAAATTTTTCAAATTCTTTATTTTTGTTGTGCAGTGATAATACATGGAGGTTTGCCATGCCAAAATAGCTAGATCAAGCTCATTAAGAAACAGGATATAACAATTATATGGCAATGCGAGAGTTCACATAGGCTACTGCTGTTCCTTGTGGGGACGGAACATCCATCCAGCCCCAAGCCTTTCTGAAATCCAGCATCCACATTCCACAAACCTGGTGTATCCTAGGGGAAGAGTACATCTCGGTGTTGCACGCCACTCGTGGCGTGTGAGCTTCGACTTGTGTGGCTGATGCAGGGAGATGCAACCTCTCGGAGTTGATTTGCTCAGAGTTGATTTGCTTTGCTGGGGCCCACTCTTTTTTGGTACCGCTGGTCTCCCTCTATCAGCTTTTATCTCAGAAGGAGTTATACCCATACGCTCCAACAGCCTCCATCAGAAGGTATGGAAGATCTTGTCCTGGTGGGATTCGATTGAATCACTGTACAGCTGCCGTGATGGGCTCAGACCCTGTGTGGCACCAGGCGTTGCATTCACCATTTTGAAGGGTCAAAGAGTGCCTGTTGCAGTGGCAGAAGCGCACCTGTCAGACGGTAAGTGCAGCAATTACACATCGAGGGGGTTCAGTGGGGACCGGGAAAACCACCTCCAGTCCAAAGGGGGAGGGGTGGTGGTAGAGCTGCTTTTATATGTGCCGTGGTTTAGAGCGACGAATCGGCCGCTTTTCCTCCTCACCGTCTCTTGAAGGCCACAGCCTGGTGTCTCGGTTCCCGGCATCTCAGGGCGTTGGTTCAGGTATCAAAAGTTGCGTGAAGGAGTCCTTAGAGTCCTTGGAGGAGGCTTTTCAGCACTTCAGCCAGAGAAATCCCCCGGTACACCGCTCAAACAGCAGGAGCTCATGCAAGACACGTCTTGCCTGCTTGCTAGTCAGGCTCTGCCCCCATATTTTAGATAATTTTAAGGGATCATAATACCACCTATTAGCCAACTTTTATTGTATCTCTATTAAGTTTAGGCAGTGTATGGCTTTGCTTGTATGAGTCAGCATTTTAGACCATTCTCTATTTCCTATTACTAGCTGTAAATCTTTATTCCAGGACTTTATTGCCTGAATTTCCTTATAATTGATATATAGAGATATTACATGTATTGCTTTAGTTATCATTTTATGGCTCTTTTCTTCATTTAACAAAAAATTATATTTTTTTCTGTTAGATTGGTTTTCCTGTATTATTATAGGAAACTTTTTATTCTTAGGTAAGAAAAGATTTCTGTTGAGGATATCTTCCAATCTTTTTTTAAGTTGCTCAAATAATAGCATATCATTTTTTATAAGGTTCCCTATTTGTTTTACCCCTTTGCTTTCCACTTTTTCATATCTATATTCTCCATATTAATCTCTATAACTTCAATTGGAAGATTGTCTAAAAGTTTTTCTTGAATATCCAACTTTTAAAAAATATATTTTTCCATACTGGGTGCATCCTTTCCATTATTATTGATAAAGTTGACATTGTTTTTACTTGTTTTTTATTTAAATTCCAGAAAAAAATTTGTGTATGTAATTTATTCCCATAATCGCTGTTTCTATTTGGTACCAAGGTTCCTCTATTGCCTCATGTCTTAAATTAATTATATGAGAAATTCTACATGCCTCATTTAATTGAAATATATTTGGCAAGCCCAGTCCACCATTTTTAAATTTTAAAGATATTTTAAACTTATTCTAGTTCCCCCATATAAATTTATTAAAATATGACTGAATCATTGTTAACCAAGGTTTTAATGTTTTTAGAGGTATCATTCGGAAAACAGTTATTTTGGCATAACATAAGCTTTAATGACATTTACTCTTCCTAGCCATGGTATTTCTGAATTTTTGATATTATTAGGTTGTCTATAAATTTGTTTCATTAAGGATAGTACATTATTCTCCATTATTTTTCTAGGGTTTCTCGTTATCTTTATACAGAAGTATTGGATCTCGTTTGTTGCCCATTTAAACTTAAATTTATTCTCTATTTGTCTTTTCATGTCTTCACTTAGATTTTTCTCTTAAATCAGTGACTTGTCAATGTTTAATTAATTAATTCTTTTAATGATGATGTCGGATCTTCCAGTGTTATAAGTGATATCTTGTATTCTTTCTTATTGCTTACTAACCCTTTATTTTTTTGTATTATTTCTGATATCATCTGCTAGCGACTCAATGGACAATATAAATAGTAAAGGGGACGGGGACACCCCTGTCTAGTTTAATTGGTCACCCTAAACCAGTCTGAGGATATCACCCCCCCCCCATTGTTCTTGCTTTAGGGCCTCTATATAATGCCCATATTGCACCATAAATCCATCCGGTCAGTCCACGTTGTTTGCATATTGACTTCAGGTAGTCCCATCTGACCCCATTATATACTTTTTTGGCATCTAATGATAGGGATACAAATGGGACTCCTGATCTGTCTATCTAAGATATCTATAATTCTTCTTATGTTATTTACAGTGCATCTACCTTTTATAAAACCTGTCTGATCTAAATGGATCATAATCTTAAATATCTTTTGTAATCTATTGGCTAATATTAATGCATACATTTTTGTATCCGAATTTATCAAGAAAATTGGTCTATAGTTGTTAATTCCGGGTCTTTTTCAGGTTTTAAAATGGGAATGATATTCGCATATAGCATCTCAATAGTCAATTCTTCCATTATTTCATTCTTAAATATCTTATAAAATATATTTGGGAACCTGTCTGGTACAGGAGCTTTGTCCTTTTTTAATAGGTCTATAGCTGATGACAATTCTCTTACTGTGAAAGGTAAATTTAAACCTTTAAGTTGTTCTTTTGTAATAGTTTTCATCTCATTAGGTTTACATGGTTCATTTATATCTTAATTTAAATCTGGGATATTATATAATTTTTGATAATAAGTATTGAATGCTTCTCCTATTTTTGGAGGAGATATTTGAGGGCCATCTTGTGTTATTATTATTTTTGCCCTTTGACTTTGTTAGCATTTTGTCCGCACTGTTACCTATGCAGTACCGTTTAGTTCTCATATGTTCCAGGTTTTTAAATGTTTTCTCTCTTATAATATTAATGATTTTTTAAAATTTTTATATTCTCTATCCTCAGGGTTACGATAATTGTGGGAGATTCCTTGTTCTTTCTGCTAATTTCATATAGTGAGATATATAAATATAAATCCGTAAGATGTGCTAGATTTTTCTTTTTAATTTGCGTTACTATTTTTATTAGATGACCTCTTAAAACCGATTTAAAGGCACATCATACTATAGGCGTTGATACATCTTGGTTCTTATTATGTTGAAAATATTCCTTAATGTTCCCTTTTACTTTTTCTATTTCCTTTTTATCATTTAAAATGAGGTTGTTCATGCACCAATTAGTTATTTTTCCTTCAGACAGACTATTTTTTAACTCTAGCGAGATAGCGTTATGGTGCGACCATAATAGGTCTTGTATTTCTACTTTACTAATGTTGTTGGATAGTTTTATATTTCCTAAGAGATAATCTATTCTCGAGTAAGAACACTGTGTTTTGGAGAAACAAGTTTAATTTTTCTCCCCCAGGTGGAAAATTCTTCAAAGATCTAATAAGCTGTTGTTTTTAACTATCTTTGAGAATTGTTTTGCATCGTTTAAATTTATTTTATTTATCAAAGTACCCGATCTTGATATCCTATCTAAATATGAATCAAATATACTATTTAAATCCCCCCTATTAGGACCATTCCTTGTTTAATCTTATTGTAACGGCACCCCCAAGCATAAAAGGGGTTAACAGCCGTTTAGGAGATATTCCCTTCCAGATATACAGGCATCTACTGTAGACACCAATCCACCCAAACAGGAAACCATATGAATGACGTAAACAGCCGAACCAGAACCATACGAATGCTGTAAACAGCCGAATAGGAAAAACCATATGAAAGGTTTACACTCCTAGCAGTCGAACTGGAACAGCATACAATAAACCCCCCCAAGAACGAGACAAAGCTCCGTGAAGCTGGTCTTAAACCTTTCTCAAAGCCCAATTGAAGGCATTTAATAACGTTTTGGATGGAAGCGGTAAGAGGGTTATCTTTTATCCTAAAACACCAATGACAACATTTCTTCCATATCTAAAAATAAATTTTAGACGTGGATTCCTTGTTAGTAGCCAACAAAATATTAGTCACCTCAGGAGATAAACCTTTACGCTTTAAGATCTGGAATTCAGATACCAACTTGAATTTCTGTAGAGTCGGAAGCGGAACCAAGGAGTGTTCCAGTATGTCCTCTGACAGGGGAAGTTTCCAAAAAGTGGAACCGTATATATTTAGGAGAACTGAGAACCAACTTCTTCTTGGCCCCCAGGGAAGGATTATGATAACTTTTTACTCTTTCCAACTTGATCTTTTGAAGAACTCTGGGAATAAGAACCACCGGTGGGAACACATATGCCAGGTTGAATTTCCAAGGTATTGAAAGGGCATCTATGACTTCTGGTCTGTCTGCATGGTTCAGGGATGCAAATCGTCTTGTCTTCCTGTTTGTTCTGGAAGCCATCAGGTCTATTTCCGGATAACCGAAAACAGTTGTGATGTGATTGAAAACCTTGAGTGACAGAGACCAGTCTGTTTGTTTTAATTGTTGACGACTTAGAGCATCTGCCAACACGTTGAATTTTCCCTTTATGTGAACTGCTGAAATTGAGAGAAGGTGTACTTCTGACCATAACATGATTTTGGAACATTTTGTCGATCTTGTACCGCCCTGTTTGTTCACGTATGCTACTGTCGTAGCATTGTCTGACCGGATCTGTACATGCTGATCCTGTATCTGTAACTGAAAAGCAAAGAGAGCCATCCAGACTGTCTTTAGTTCTTTGAAGTTCGATGAAGTTCTTACATCCTTTACTTGCCAAAGCCCTTGCTAAAGACAGTTCTTTTGACTCTGCGATCAACAGCCAGTCGTCTAAATAAGGGATGACATTGATGCCTAATCCTCTTAGATATGTTGAGACGACTACTAGTAGTTTTGTGAACACCTTTGGAGCAGATGAAAGGCCGAAAGGCAGTTCTCTGAATTGGTAATGCATAGTTGCATATTGGATGAAGATAGCAAACCCAAAAACTTTTGCTGGATTCTGCTATGGTAACGTGCAAATAGGCGTTTTTTAAATCCAGAGACACAAACCAATTTCCTGGTTGTATAAGAAGAGTTGCGGATTTTATTGATTCCATACGCAACTTCTATTTTTTATAATAAATTTGTTGACAGCCTTGAGGTCTAGAATGGGCCTGAACGAATCGACTGGCTGTGGAACCAAAAATAGCCTTGAATAAGTGCCCCGAAGTCTTTCTATTAGGGGGTACTCCTTCTATGACCCTCTTCTGCAGGAGTTTTGATACTTCTAGCATCAAAGCTTTCTCTGTTGCAGGTGAATGTGCCGGGGAGCATATAAATGTTCTTTTTGGGATCTCTGATAGATCCAGATGGTAACCGTTCTTTATCACAGAGAGAACCCAGCGATGCGATGTAGTCCTTTTCCAGTAATTTAAGGAAATGAGTCAATCTTCCTCCCACCGGCCTGGCGTCATAACATTGTTTCTCTTGTCCGTGAACTTCTCTTTTCTTCTGTAATCAAATACTTTCCTTTGTTGACCCCTGTAAGTGTTCTTTCGAAAGGAACTTCTGTAGGAAGGTTGGACCCCCAAATTTTTCTTATTCCAAACCTGCTTCCTGTATACTTCAGGGAAGCCCTTCCTACCCTCCTTCATCTGTTTTAACAGATCATCCAGTTTTGACCCAAACAGTCTACCAAGTTCAAATAGAAGGTCACATAATTAATTTTTTGATGCAGTGTCAGCTGATCAAATTCTCAGCCAAAGTGCTCTCCTAGTTACTGTAGCTAGACGCAAAGCCTTAGCTGAAAACTTCAGAATTTCTGAAGAGGAATCTACTAAAAAGTCCGATGACATCTTGATATTTTTTTAGATTCACCTGCATAAACCTTTCTATAATTCTTCCAGCCAATGTTTCTGAGCTTTAGTCACTGAGGTACCTGCAATCAGAACTTTTGCCTGAGCCGCTGAGGATACAAATATTTTCTTTAAAGAAGAGTCCATACGTTTCTCCATAGCATCTTTTAAACCACTTGAATCACCTATAGGTAAAGTAGTTTTCTTTCCCAGTAGAGCTATAGGAACGTCTACTAAAGGGACTATATCCAGCAGGCAGTCAGGATCCATTTCCATGGCAAAAAGAGTTTTAAAAAGTGTTTTGATATAAATGGCTTTCGACCTGGAAATTTCCACTCTCTTAAAAGCAAATCCTTTATCTGTGGATGGAATGGGAAAACTTTTGATTTCTTCCCTGTTTTCACATCCTCCATAAGGTACTGGACTTCCTTTACTAATTTCCCAATGGCTTCCTCTGGAAAGGCAAACTCCTCATCAGATGAATCACTAGAATACTCATCTCTAGAATGAGACATACCAGAACCCGAGCTTACGTCTGATAGTTCCAAGGATCTCTGTCTTTTCTTAGCCTGTTTAACTACAGACAAATCCAAAGCAACAGAGGCCTGAGCAGACCAAATAGCTGCCACCTGCATTTCCACAAAGGTTTGCTGCATGCTTTGTTGGAGCCAGTTTAGGAATGTGGACATTTCCGGTTTCTTAGCTTCCTCCGAAGCCTATTTGGAACACAGAGAACAACGTTTCCTTTTATATCCATTTGGCATGGGTTGGAAACATGCAGAGCAACTTAAATGCTTGGATTTAGCTGAACATTTCCCCTTCTCTGCAGATTTATCTGTATTCTCAGGATTAGACATGCTGAGGAGAGAGAAGAGAGAGGGAAAACTTTTTAATTCCCATTTTAATTCAGGCTAGAGCCATTTAAAATAAAAAGCCAAATGTCTTACCTTAAATGGTCTTAAAGTGTGTTGGAGGGTAGGTGAGAAACACACTTGCAACAGATCTGAGTGGACCTGGCAAACAGAGGTTGCTGCTGGTAAAATTGCCTCTTTCAGTCCTGGAAACCAAACTGAACGAAGGCTGAGTTCAGATTTGGCGCCTGAATTTGAATCGCATTGCGCATGTGCAATGTGCGCCGTGATTACCCGATGGAACGCAACGCAACCTGTACGTGCGTTCCACCGCCAGGACCTCCCAGCTGGCTCACACCTGCGCCCTTTGTTTGTCCGGCATCTGGCACGGCATAGACGGGAACCACAATTAAAGCCGCGGTGATCCAGCCGTCCGGACGTTAAACTTTTGTCCGGGGTCTATTGGAAGCAGAGCCTCCCGAGCCTCAGCCCTCTCACCATGCTTCCCGGAGAAATGTCTGTCAAAACATCCTCTGCCGAAGCCAGGCAAAGAACTGGGGTTTGTTTGGATAAGCAGAAATTTATATGAAGGTGGTTAATTGAGGGGAGGGTCTTAAAAAAGTTTTGGGAATTGCCTGCCTGTTTTTTTCCCTCCAGATTAGAAATCCCATTTGTCAAGCACTGCCTCTAATCTGAGGGGAAAATATAACATTCGGAATTGAATTAAATATGAATTTTATGCCTCTTCTTATCGCTTTCCCTCTTCCCTCCCCTCTCTCCTTGTGGCACAGTCACTATGTCTCCATTCTTCTGAAAAAATATCTAAGTCGTGTCGGGAAAGAAAGGAGAGGAGGGAGGAGAGAGGGGGAAAAAAAGTGTAACTATAGAATTCTTACTAATCGATATCCTTTGTGTGTCTTGTTCAACATCCAATTTCATTATTTTGTTTTAACTTTTAGTTGCTGCTCATTATCCCCATCTCTAGTCTTTCCCTTTCTCTCACCAAGTGAAATATACAGTTACCTATATCATTATATTACTAACCCTTTTGCACAAAAATATGAATATGAATCCGTTTTCACTTCTTATCCAATCTAAAGTTTTTCTTTCTTGTGTAACTCCTAAAAAGCTTTTGTGGCTTTTCCCTTTCTATTCTTCTAAATGCAATCATACATTTTATAAATACTGTAATAGATATACCCAACACTCAATATGTGTTATTTAGTCAAACAACAAGATACTGTTTTACATTATGCAAAGGCTGTTTAAACATCTTGTTTTTCTTCTTGGCCTTCTTTCTCTACATGTATATTAAAAACTAAAGAAAAGAAAAAGTTTTCTTTTTTTTATACCTCTGAGATAAACAAAAATTTGTATAACATGTCTTCGCTCATTTCTTTCACTTTAAGCTCTTTATATTATTTACCCTTTTTTAAACCCCCTACCCTTCTTCCCCTGCCCTTTATTTCCCTCTTTCATGGTTTATTTGTGTAGATATGTGTAGCTTTATAAATTTCTTACAAAGTGATATCCTTTATGTGTTGTTCAACATCTAATTTCGTTATTTTAATTTATCTTTTAATTGTTGCTCATTACCCCATCACTATTCTTTCAGTTTCTCTCACCAAGTGAATTATATAGTTTACCTATATCATTATATTGCTAACCCCTTTGCACAAGCGTATAAATATGTCTTTTCCCTATTCCCTTATATTTCCCAAATCTCATCTTCTTTCTTTTCCACCTCTAACTAATTTAAGGATTTTCTTTCTTGTGTAACTCGTAAGAAGCTTTTGTGAATATTTCCCTTTCTATTCTTTTAGATGTAATTATTCATTTTATATATACTGATATACTTATAGCCAACACTCAATATGTGTTATTTAGTCCAACAACTAGATACTGGTTTACATTATGCAAAGACTGTTTAAACATCTTATTTTTCTCTTTGGCTTTCTTCCTCTCTATATAACAGCAAAAAAAAAAAAAAAAAAAAAAGGAGGGGTTAACAATGTTGTTCTTTTATTTTTCTTGTAACCAATGCAATCCTCATGACCATTTTAGTCTCTCTTTTTTTTTCATATGTTATTTGTATCGAACAATTATATCCCCATTTGTATCTGATAGGTTTCCTTAGTATGCTTGTTGCTTGATAGAAGGACCTTCTTCTTTTCCTTGTACAATACGAGATATCCTGGAATACTTTAAAATTTTTCCTTATTTTCTTGTATTTCCTGTTGCTTTAAGTATACTTTCTTTCATCAGGTAGGAATGCAGCAAATAATATCATCTCTTGGTATATCGTTTTCCAGCACTTTTGGTTTTTCTAGCCTGTGGTATCTTTCCAAGAAGTTTTTTTCTCTGTCCATTCCAAGACCAAGGTCCTTAAAAAAATCTTCTACGAATTCTAATAGTTTTTCTTGTGTAATTTCTTCCCGAATATTTCTTGTACGCAAATTACAGCGTCTTGATTTGTCCTCTACATCTGCTATTCTATTTTCCAGAATAGTAATTTGTTTTGCTTGCTGGTTTTCTTTATATTCTTGCATTTTTAGCTGTAGTTCTAAGTTTTCTAGTTTTTCTTCCAGATTTCTCATATTTTAGGATATTGTTGTTATTTCCACCTTAATTTCTAACACATTTGGTTTTATTTCTGATTTTATCTGTTGGAACAGCATCTTCAGTCTTGTATTCAAGTAATCTGGAGTTACTGTTATTTGATCCATATCCCATGATTTTTCTAGGACAGGTATTGAATCTTCATGTCTTATATTTTGTCTTCCTTCTATTGTTTGTTTTTCATTGCATACTTTTGTGGATTGAGGTGAGAACAAATTACTAGACAGTCTTTTCTCTTGTTTACAGTCTGTCCTTTTCTCTCACCCTCCTTCTTAGTTCCATTTTTTTGATCAGTTTTTCTTGAGACCATACTAGATTTTGGGGATATTATTGCTTATTACTCTCTCTCCTCTTTCCGTCCTTCCCACCACCACCTATTTCTTCTTATATTATACATCAGAAACGTTTTTTTTTTTACCTTTTTTGCCGATATCTTTGTTAAAGAAAAAAAGATTTCTATAGAGATGGGCTTTTTTTTTTTTTTTGCGAGTTTAGATGTGAGTTTAATTTTACTTATTATTGCAGGGTTATCTTAATAATTCTCAATATAATTATCTCACCCAGTTTTTGGCGTTCCGACCTTGTGTTGAGCTCTCCTGATTTTTGAGTATACCATCTTTCGCCACTCTTCTGCAGCCTTCACTCACTAAGTGTGTGACCTTCGACTGCCAAATCTTCTTCTGATACTCGTGTATCCCGTCTCTTGTCTCTCGCCACTCTGCTGCAGCCTTCACACGCTGAGTGTGTGAACGTCGACCGCCAATTTGCCTTTTAAAACTCTGGGCAGGTGTCTGCTTTGCCGGTTCGTATCGCTCACTTTACTTCCCACTGCTTCACGCATCTCACTACTCCCCCGCTTCACTCCAAGACTCAGCACTTCCGTGTAACCTCCGGCTTAGTGCTCAACGAGAGCAAGCTGCGTCACGTTGCATCATCACGTGCCTTTTTCCTTACTCAGTAGATGCAGCAATTTGTAATCCTGAGAACAATGCCACCTACAGTTCCAGATTTCCAAAAACCATCTTCCACAGATTACCTCAGTTACGCAATTACAAATTATGTAATTACCATATGTAAAGATTTAACATGCAAGAAGCAGAGTTCTGAACAGCATGGTGGGAGGGGTCATAAAATTCACACTTGATGCATTTCACAAATACACACCTGCCACACATACTTGTAGTAAGCACACCACTGTTAGACCACCAAGCACACACACACTCACACAAGGCACAAATAAAACTCTGCACTGCAGAAAAATATAGATCTTCAAACACCACACATGCAGACACATCCCAGTATTTCAAACTTTGACTAAATATGCAATCATTCACACTCATAGAACTACAATTAATAAAATTGGTTTCACAGTCTTATCCAGTCCACTATTCTATGATGTGTCATCCATTTTGTTACACTGAGTGGCTACGAACATGATATAACCCATTCTAAAAGCTAAAGTATGTGACGTCAGTATACTCAATCCTTAAAGCACAAAATGTAACATGTAATAGCATATTATCATATAATCCCTACCTCTAATATTCAGTAACTGCATTAGGCATGATTGAGCCGAGTGAGCTTATATATACAAATACACTGAGAATGTTTTTTTTGCCATGCCTAGATGTGCTTAAAAATCACCTTTAATATCTACACGCCTTACCTTGAGATCTTAAAATCTAGCGTAGGTTAGTGAGACTTACTACAATTTACTTCATTCCAAAGTCTCTCTGAATAAATACCTTTTTTTAACTACATGGATAATCAAAGCAAAACTGTAAGTAATTTCACTAAGAATATAAATATAAGATCATTCCGATCGAATATATATTTTTTATATTCAAAAATATTTATAAGATAGTGGATGAGCAAAAAGGATTGTTTGTGGTGTATGTATAATTAAAGTTAATAAATGCTTAAACGGGTTTTATATGAAAAAAAATAAATCATTGTATACAAAGAAGATTTCTTACCACGGTGGTTGTTAGGAGTGTGGTTACTTTTTTTGAAAGCTGTGACAACTCTTTACACAGTGTAATAGTCATTCTAGAAAGAAAAAAAAAGGAGAGAAAAGACTTTGATTAGTCTTCTGTACACACCACAGTTCCAGGCTGGAAGACACTCAATATATAGTCATACACTTCCAATGCATACATAATTTGGCCCATATAGATTTCTTAAATTGCGAATGTCACTACAATCTATACCAACAGTATTTATAATTTAAGGACTCAAGCAATTTGCAAAAACAGATGGGGGGAAAAAAGCACACCAACCGTAAAACAAGTGTCATTTACTGGACCCCCTTCACAGCGTTCTGTAAAAGTACTTGAGCTGCAGTCACTATGCTCCATTCACAAAACCATTGAAGGTTGACTCCAATCATTTAATAAAATATGCCTGATGTAGTCAATAGAGGCGCTTCCTTGGAATCAGACTTGGTTCTCAACCAAATGCTGTTCCTAGAACAGGCACTGGATTGCAGAAATTAGCAATCTTGATGATCTCAGCCAGGGAGGCGTTGAGGTTGTGGTGAGACCAGTTCTTCAAACTAAGAAAAGTAACTGAAATTAACCTTTCAAACCCTCACAGGCGGCAGGGAAACTGGAATTAATGCCAGCCAAAATTCTAGCAGTTGAACCTGATAAATGGTACAGCTACTCAAGAAAAACCTCTTAACAAATGTGCGAACAGTGATCTGCCAACCCCATTTTTAAATTGAAGCCTATCCCATACATTACAATGGCTGCCCAGTCATTAGTTTTTTATTACAGCAGTCAGCCACTGGCTGCTCACTGTTTAGCTTGCAGCATGGCAACTAAGGGCATGGAGAAGGTTTTAAACCTCCTTTGTAGTGCTGTGGTGGTCATATTGACCCCCCCCCCACACACACACACACACACACACACATAGGCTTTTCTTAAACAATTTGCTTGGTGACTGCTAGTGCTGCCAGCAAATACATAGTGAGCAAGCTGAAGTGCATTATGGGTGTTTAGTTTTCCTTTATGAAACAGACTTGGGTTGTTCGTCACATCAAAATTGTTAACAGTATACTAGATTTTAAATGCTGAAGTTTTACAGGATTATTTACTATAGTGAGAATTCAAAGTGAATTTAAAGTTTAAGGCCAGAGAAGCCGAACTGAAAGTATCGCTACTTAAGAGAATGTTCACCTTAAATTTGAAATTCCCTTTTAATTCACATTGAATTCTTAATTTAGTGAATAACCCTGTTAGAAAACGAAATTGGAGAGGGCTTAAAAAAAAAAAAAAGCTTCACAATAGTAATAATATTATTAACAATTACTTTCTAATACACATTTTAAGTCAATCCGTTGTGTCAGCATTCAGGCACTTTTTTTTCAGTTTTATTAAAAACATGTGCTGTTTTATGTAATACGGAGTAAATAACAGACACAGTTAACATTCATAAAATATGTAATTATACTATTAACAATGTTTTAAAACAAGTAACTTTTATTATGGACATAAAATGTGTTTAGTGTAAAAATTAAGAAACATGCTAATTAAAGAGTTTGTAAAAGTTTACTGGGGGAAAACTTTTTATTATTTCCTCAACATTTGCAAAATGAAACCTAAGAAAACAAAAGCTTTACTGGTCAGATGTGCATTTCCAAAGGTTTTGGTTTTAACACTACAGGAAGAAAAAATGTATATATCTATTTAGATAGATTTTCAATGTATGATTAAATTATGTAAATTCCAGAGAAGTGACAGTCTCCTTTAACAAAGTAATCTCTCTGCTCAGCTCCCTCGCGCTAACAGCAGTGATGCCAGAGCCAGAATATGACGTCACTCCGGCATCACTAAGAGGTGCACGAGGGAGCTGAGCAGAGAGATTACTGCTCCCTCATGGCCCGCACGTCAGCCGCTCAGCAGCCCACTGGACCCCAGGAACCGCTCGCCAGCCGCTCAGCAGCCCCACTGGATCCAGGCACATAGAGATTCCATATCAGCACACCCAAAGGTAGGGGGCTGGGTGGAGTAAAATAAAAAAAATTGTATGTGTGTCTGTTAGGGAGTTTGTATGTGTTTGTGTGTCTGTCAAAGACTATATGTGTGTTTGTCAGTGAGAGCGTATGTGTGCTTCTCAGTGAGTGTGTATGTGTTTGTCAGTGAGAGTAAATATGTGTTTGTCTGTGTGTCTGTCAAAGAGTATGTGTGTTTGTCAGTGAGATTGTATGTGTGTCTGAGTGTGTCAGTGTGTGCATCTGTGTGTCAAGGTTTGTGTATGTGTCACTGTGTGTGTGTGTGTCAGTATGTGTGTGTCTATGTGCCAGTGTATATCACTGTGTTTGTATGTTCGTGTCTGTGTATGCTAGTGTGCGTATCCTAGTGCATCAGTGTGTGTATATGACACTGTGTGTATGTGCGAGTGTGTATATGTCACTGTGTGTACCTGAGTGTGTGTATTTGTGAGTCAAGATGTGTGTTTTTAAAGCTAAACATTTCATGTTGTAGCTTTATCTTTGGAATCGTTGGTAACTATTGTTTCAGTTTGGCTATTTTAACATGAAATTTGAAATTCACTATGAAATTGGGAAAGATCACACTTTACTGAATAACTCTGACAAGACTCGGGTAAATTGGCAAGATCATGATGTCTTACTGTGATAATGCTTTTGCTCTTGATATTGACGGCACTTGCTTCTCTCCATGTAAAATTAACGTAGCGGATTTATGGAACATCTCCATAGAGCAGGCGGTCAGTTCTGCCAAACTGCGGATAGCCAAATCATGAATTCCCTGCCATAGAAGAAGAAGAAAAAAATAATAGAATAGTTGTTTTTACAACAAACAAAAAGTTGTTTTTACAATAGACTAAATTTGGAAAATTCATCTACCTTTCAAAAGAGGGAGACTACAAAATAGTTATCATTTACCATGTTTTAAACAGATAACATTTCTAAAGGTAATAGAATATTCCTGGGCTTTGTTTAGTCTTCATTGCCCAAGGTGTCTTCCGGGATATAGCTAAGGAATCTTAACCAATCTTTGTTTTCTCTTTGTTTTTGTTTTTTAAACAGAAGAATTACTGTGAGTGATTTCAGTTCTGATGAAGGAGTTAACATTAAATATGCATTTTTCCCCATTAGGTTTCCCAGTTGTTGATAACCAACCCTAAAATGTGTAGCTGTCATAAATATTATAGCCATTGCTATGTGTATACCTCAACAGTGGCTTTTTTATTTTTCCCTGCAATCTCTGCTTCAGTCTCTTCCACGTTGCCTTCCACTTCCTTTTCATCTACTTCTGTCATCCAGTCATAGGCTGCTTTCCGTGCCTGAAATTGCAAGAGATGTAAATTATTAGGATTATACAATCATGAAGCAAACTAAATCATATGTTAGAATAGATTAAATATTTGTGGGCAACATTTGTTTATGTAGGCTACGAAATGGAAACAGTAATGACGAAAAAAAAGAATAAGGTGTAAGCGAAACTTGGAAAAGTTTACGCTAGGCTGCCATCTGGTGGTCTTATGCAGCAATGCATAACAGTAAACAGGAGAACATACCGGTATATGTGTTCTGAGAATATTAGAGGGGTCCAGACTGCTGTAATCTACAGTACTTAGCTTAGAGCAAAATGGTGTGCAGTGACAGGCAACTGAGGAGAGTAATTATAAGGTTTGGGAGATAAGGACAATTAATGACACTGTGAGGGCAAGATATATGGAAGATTAATGGTACAGAGTAAGGAATAAGAAAGGTAAGATTAATGATACAGGGAGGGGCAAGGTATAAGAAAGATTAATACTATAGTGCATGGTGGAGGAGAGGAAAGATTAATGATACAGGTCAAAGAGAGAAAAGGAAATAAAAGGGTGTATAATGGTGGATGAGGGGGGATGAACAAATGAAAGATACTGGACAGCAGAAGAAGAGGATAGAGAGGATGAATAATTGAATCATACAAGGCACTGGGGAATGGATAGAGATGAGAATTATAGGAGGAGTGGGGAAGGTATGAAAAAGATAAGTAATAAAGGGCAGGTACGCTGATTCAACATACGAATCATTGAAGCAGAGAGGGAAGAGTCACGATGAGGAGGAAAGGAGTAGTGACAGAAAATTCATGATGGAGGTAAGGAAGGGAAAGGTAAGATTCATGGTGGGGAGGGGATTTAAGAGAGAATATTCAGACATTTTTGACTCTAGGGAAGAGGACTTAAGATGTAGGGCAGGGAATGTTAGATTCATCAAAAAGTGCATGGTACGGTAGGAGAAAGAGAAGAAAAATAGCAAGAGGAGGCAAGTCATAGCATAATGATGGAAGTATCAGGCCCCAAAGCATTATGTTGTTTAACAGTAAAAGCGTTTTGTTAGTTAAGGACAGAGTACACAGAAGTAAGTACACTCACTCGGGTCAGTTTTTCTGGCCGGACAGAGATTTGTAATTCCTCAAACAGGGCAGTTACTTCCTTGGCGAAATCATCATTTCCTGTGAAGGATGTAAATTATGTGTTACAGGAAAAGAAGAAACCAAGTCTTGGCAAATTATACTCGTCAATACTAAAAAGAACAATTAACTGAAAATAAATACTGAGCAGGTATAGGAACATTCGAAAGCCTGCTCTAAGTTGTTTGACACTCTGACAATTGCAATGTTCCAGATGAATCATATCTCAAAAAGAAAGTTGAGATGTATTTTTAAAGATGAAATGTCACTTCTTTGAATATGACTGTTCTTCAATCACATAGCCCGGTAAAAACAATTTAAGTGTTTACTGGGGTAAGAAGTGTAGTGGCGCTACGTGTGGAAATACTACCTTCCTAGCACTTCTACATGTTAGAAATGTCCTTGCATCAGAATGCAATACATGTGCGCGGGCATCTGCTTTGAAAGTAAGATATGAGTACATGCCTCCTCACAGCACAACGGGTAATAAAGGAACTAACACAGCATGCCAAAAAGGCCAAACACAACACTATGGGTAATGGGATGTTTAAAAATGAATGATAGTTCCACTTTGCATTAAAAATATGCAGGTGAAATTACAAAGCTAAGCAATAATGTCATATTTCTTTTTGCAAAATTTTTTTTAATATATATATATATATATATATATATATATATATATACACACATACACATACACACACACATAAATACATATATATTCACACACACATACCAATAAGATTGTGGTGGGGAAAAAAGTGTGGATGAAGTAAGTGGATAGTTAATATATTGCTAATCACAACTACACACACCAGTAAAGCCATAAGACTTGCTCTTCCCACAGAAATCTCACTTTAACCCCTTAAGGACCAAACTTCTGGAATAAAAGGGAATCATGACATGTCACACATGTCATGTGTCCTTAAGGGGTTAACAGTGCTGCAAGGGATTCTGGGTAGGTGTATGCAAATGAGCTTAAAAATAAATAAATAAATCCACTTTTTGCATGGATTCCTTGGAGTATGTGTCTGCTGTATGCGACAGCTTTGAAATACAAAGCTCAGGAAGAGGAACAAAGCCAGTGAACCACTCATGGACAGCTGTTTCGTTAATGCAACTCATCAGCATGAGGTTGGTTACTGGCTTGCTATGGAGGCTTGGCGTTACTTGTAAAGTACATACCAACAGATTTGTGGTGGGGTAAAAGGTGTGGATGAAAACCTCTTCCATCTGAAGTAAGTGGATAGTTAATACATTGCTAAACACAAGTACAGCCTTCCATATTTATTCTTTATTTTAAATGTTTACATATAAATATACGATCACAGAACCATACAACAAAAACACAGTTATGTGTTTATATTAGTAATATAAATAGGATGCCAAATCCACCACATATTTTTAAAAGCTGATTTTCTCAAAATGTCACCAAACCTTGAAGAGGAATATTTGAAATGTTTTTATTCTCTTTTTTACCTAAACGGTTTCTCTCCATATTAGGCTCTAATATACAATTAAAATCCCCTAGATATATGATTTGCCCCTGTTTAACCCTTTCTAGTTTGGAGACCATTTTATATATAAATTTTGTAGATGCTATATTAGGGGCATATATGTTTACTATAATGTATTTTTGATTGTTAATTTCACAAGATAAAATATGAAATCTTTGTTCAGTATCAACTTCTTGATATATTAGTTTGAAAGCTACTTTTGATGAAATTATAGCTGCTACCCCTCTTTTTTTTCTTTTTAACATGAAAGATTTATAAATATATAGAAAATCTTTAGGATTAAATCTGTCCTTATCACTCGCCAGCCTGGGGCTCTTGAATTCCAGATATATGTATTTTTTCTATGGTCTGCCAGAATAAATATTTTTTGTGGTGAATTTAGCCCCCTTACATTCAAAGATGCTATTTTAAGCATAACCGTTCATAGTTTGTCTCTCTCCATCTCGCAGGGATTATACCAAACCAAAAACATCCTTACTACATTTAATACATCACAATACACGCCAACACTTAACACTTAAAATTAGGTAAATACAACTTAAGCTGAACAACAACACAGGACATATTACACCATGTCATGATTTATTTAACAACAATAAAGCCAAATTGGAGAAGCCATGTGTGAAAAACTAAGTACACCCTTACTGCTTCCATGGGAATTAAGTCGCTAAGTAGCAGACAGGTGCTGCTAATCAAATGCCCTTGATTAACCGATCATTAGCAAGTGTGACCATCTCCATTAAAAACTGCAGTTTCAGCAGTTTGCTGGTCTGGAGCATCACGGTATGTGTGTGTGTTAACACAATGCCAAGAAGGAAAGACATCAACAATGATCTTAGAGAAGCAATTGTTTTTGCCTATCACACTGCAAAGGGTTATGAGGCCATTTCCAAACAATTTAAAGACCATCATTCTACAGTGAGAATGATTATTCAAAAGTGGAAAACATTCAAAACAGTTGCCATTTTTTTCTAGGAGTGGACATCCCAGCAAATTCACCCCCATGGTCAGACCGTGCAATACTCATAGAAGTTTAAAAAAAAAAAAAAAAAAGCAAGAGTTGCATAACAAGTAGGGTTTGTTTCTCACTAAAAAAGAACATGGCAGCACTACTTAGGTTTGCACAGTTACATCTGAACAAACCACAAGACGTCTGGAACAAAGTCTCTTGGACAGACAAGACCAAAGTGGAGATGCCTGGCCATAATGCACAGTGCCACATTGGCGAAAAACCAAATACAACAGTTCATCACAAACACCATAGAGAGATATTTTCATTCTCCAGCATTTTGTAGTTCTATTAATCTTTATACACTTTAGGCACTATAACGGTTTCATTTCTTTGAATTGGTTGGCACGATCAATCCATTCGAGGTTAAACCATTTACAAGCAGTTTATATCCAAATAAGGTCCCCTGGCCACCAACAGATGAGCCCCCACTAAAGGTATGGCTAAGGCAGAGATGGACTGCTAGGGATTCTCATATAAAATTAAACATGAAAAATTTTACAAACAGAAGGACTGTACCAGGGGACTCCAGACATTATAAGCACTTTAATAAGATGAAGCGGTTATACTGTCTATGGTTTCCCTTTAAACCCTGAAAAGCAGTTTTATGAAGACCCTTGGATGAAATGATTACCCTTTTCCACCTCATCGTCATCATCAAACTCCTCCAGTGAGAATGTTTCCTTTAATGGCTCTAGCTCCAGTTTGACTTTTGCAAGCTCTTCCCCAGACAGTGAACTGAGCATGGACTTCACCTAGGAGAAATATTGAAACAGATTATGGCCAATTAAACCCTGATCCTCCAATTAAGGGAAACACAATATGAATGAATGCACTGCAGCGTCTTCACTGCAAACAAAATCATTCTTTTGTGTAAACATTTTTATTTTGGCAAATGCTATAATTTTTTTTTGAAGTTTCTGATTTAAGGTAACTCTGCAAAAACAAAAGCAACATCTAATGTGAAAAAAAAAAAAAAAAAGATTGTTTGCTTACTAAGAAACTAACTAAAACCTGCATCATTTCCCTACTGGAAATGAATATAGCCAGAATCCTGGCTATGTAAGAGGTACTTTTCACATAAACCCCCATTCAATGCTTAATAAACCGTTTTTTGTACATGTACAATAGAATTGCTGGCGCAATCTCATTCATAAAAAGAAACAAAAAACAAAACAAAACCCCACTCATTTTCACTAGCATTTTTCATATACTTGTATCCAATTGAATGGGAGCTACATTGCATGCTGTCTTTGTCTCTATGAAGCCATATTGCACATGAGAGACTGTGACAGCGTTTACATAAGCAGGCTTATTAAGAACTAGTGAGTTAAGATATATAAATGAAAAGCATGTCAGGATGATTATTCAAGCACTGCTAACCTTTGCCTCGCTCTCTTTGGACAGCAGTTCCAATGCTTCCAGGTGAGCCAGGCCCTGATACTCATCAAATAATAGCCCATAGTGTGCTTTTCCTTCAGTCTCGGCCTCAACTGCACCACTCACACGCTGCTCTTCTCTCTCCTTTGCCTCTCGCAAAACCTACAGGAATAAATAAATGCACTGAAATGAAAACCAGCTATTTAATTGCAACTTTAAGTGAAATGCTATAAAGAACAAAATGTTAGCCACACATTGTATTAGCTATAATTATAGTAAACTTTAAAAGTTTACACATTTGTGGACAACATGTCAATATGTAGATTAGCATTTCTTCTATAACAGCAATTTACAACCATTACCAACATAAGAGACATGGAGATCAAATATCAAAATAAGCACATGTGGAGTAGACATTGACAGAGACAGTAAGACGTCAGTTTACTCTTTAAGGAGAACCAGTTAGTTTTCTAATGGCCATTTGCACTAGGCTATTTACATATAATGCATACAAACTATGCAATAAATACATAATATATAAATTAAAACTTTTACTCTCCAGTGCAGGTCTGCATTTTGCAGGTAAACCCAAGGAATTTCCAATGATACTGTGCACCTCTGTGACCACAAGAAATTTTGGTTTCACAAATAAATATACAGAAGGCATGAGTGTGTGATGTCAGACCCAAACAGATCCGAAGTGCATGACACATCACACAACTGCAGCAAGCGTGAAATTCCAGCACTAAATTTAAAGGGACACTATAGTCATCCAGACCACATTATCTCATTGAAATGACCTGGGTGCAGTGTCCAACTTAGCCCTGCAATATAAACCGTTTTTGAGAATCTGCAATAATTACACTGCAGGCCTAATTCTGCTTCTAGTGGCTGTCAATCAGTGGGGGTTAACGACTTTTAATCGCCTAACTGACATTGGACGTAGTCACGCTCTGCATGAGGACATCCAGCGTTCATAAAACTCCCATAGGAAAGCACTGAAGCAATGCTTTCCTATGGGGAGGGCCTAACGCGCCTGCGGAGCTCAACACTCATGCGCCACCCTCTCGTTTGATGACTTTGGTGGAAGCGGAGTGCTGATCCAGTGCTAAAGGACACACACGCTGGAAGGAATTGGTTAAGTTGCTTAAAGAGTTTTTAACCCTTTATGAGCTGGTGAGGGGGAATGGGGGAGGGGAGCAGAGAGCTCTATAGTGTAAGCAATACAACTTTGTGTTCCTTATAACTACAGAATCCCTTTAACCGCTTTTCAGTGGGACATGCAAGTTTCTAGGCTGTCCTGACAAACATCCTAAAAACTAAAGAATCAATAACATTTGGTTTGGTTAGTGTTAATTTTGGCTGCAAATTTCAATTTAGTTTTAGTCATAGTCTTTTGACTAAAAAGACGTTTTAGTTGTATTTTAGTCATCTGAATTGTTTTAGTTTTAGTCAACTTAATCTCCAGTATATTTTACTTGACACAACTAAAAATTAATGGGGTTAGTTAAAGCCTCTGCCTCTTTTGCCCATTCCCCATCCCCTCTGTGTCATCCCAGCCCCTCTATGTGTCTCTCTTCCAAGCCCTGGTCTGTCTCTTTTGCCCCTTCCACAGTCACTCTGGGAAGTGTTAATTTTGGCAGCACATTTCAATTTAGTTTTAGTCATAGTCTTTTGACTAAAATGCCATTCTAGTTTTAGTCGTATTTTATTCATCTAATGTGTTTTCATTTTAGTCGACTAAAATTTGACTAAAATTGTTCGTTGACAAAATTAACACTGGGTTTGGTAGGACTACTGAATAAGTAGATAGTGAGGGCAGTGCACTGTGTTGTCTTGACCACCAACCATGCATATAAGCAGCTATGGCTACAGCACTCAAGAGATGAAAAAGAGATGCTGGGATTTGCTCCTGCCCAGCTGACATGTTGTACTTAAAAATATGGATGTATTTGAATAGTGGAAAAGAAACTAGAACATTTCCTTTGAGATAATAATAAAAATGAGCAGGGTTATGGCTGCAGGAATTTCTTTAAATCAGTGCAGTTACAAGATATTATGTGCAGGGAAGCAGTGTCTGCACAGCAAACATACATTGCCATGGTGCTTAGTGTCACCATTTAAATATAGCGCATCTTAAATCACATAAGACTGAAAAATAGAATATTGATCAAAAACACGTTAACAGAGATTAGCTAACAAGCTACAGCTACACAGCTATCCCTTGCTATTCAAACACATGCACAATATATAATGTTTTATACAGTGTTTGTTTTGTAAGGGCTTACACAACACATGGCAAAGAAAACTGTCTCAGAGAAAATAATATTGAAGTTGGCTGAACAGTTCATGAGAATAAATTAATATTAAATAACAGGGCTTACTTCCTGACTGTTACATAATCAGAAACCGGATATGATAAATTAAATGTGTGTAATTGATATTAACCATATTATTGCCCATAATGTCAAGATAATTAAACATGACATCTGCCTGAGTCCCTACAGCCAGTAATGGCAAAGTAAATGTAGCTAGCCTCTGTGATATATTCTCTAATTACAACAGGTTGCTTTTTGTTTTTGTATAAATATTTCCCAAGAACATCGTAAACAACAAGCACTGAGAGAGAAGATGTGTTAATTCTAATAAACACGACTCGGCTATTCCCTAAACTCTGAAATCAACTGAATTAAAATTTCAATAGCAAAATTGGGACAAAAAATAGCCAAGCTGTGACTGCAGAAATAAAAGCTGTTTTGTCAATGCATTGCCACTTGAATTTGCTACCATTAGGATTTTTATGAGTAGCCTTCCCAGAGGGGAAATATCTAAACAATATTGAAAAAAAAAAAAAAAAAAATAAAGTAGCACTTTGTGCTCTTCCAAACTTACCTCTTATGAGTCTGTGATTGGGGATTTGACTAATAAAAACAAAAAATTATCTGAAACATGTATAGTGTGTGTACGTAACACATATCTATGACCATAAACAAATCTCAGCACCCTTCTTAATGTAGTTATTCTATTTTTTTAATATTGTAGAGTCAACAAGTCAACTTCGGTAACAAGCTTTATTTAGCTCACATATCTTTATTTATCCTATCTATGCAATGTTCATTAGTGACATAGATCCTGCACAGGTTTGCCAGCTCCACCCATTGGCAGTAAGTGGGGGCTCTCTTGATAATATTCAGGAGGAGGAACTAGTGTCCTCTCCCTGACCTCCACCGAAGGGCCATAAATAATAATAGTTTGGGTAGAGAGACCTAGTGCCCTCACCCCAGACACCCCATGCACAACAGGAGGGGGCTCTAAATAATTAAACTTATTTAGGAGGGGTATTCCCTATTTTGTGCCTAAGTCCATCTGCCCCTCTTTCCTATACTAATGTCCCTCTTTCCAGGAGCTCAGCTCCATTTTGTTGGTGCATTTGAGTGTATGACAAAGCTCCACAGCTACCATAAAGGTGTTCTCAAATCAGTCTGTGTAAATGAAATACATTGTTCTTTCTCTAAATTACATTTTAGTTTCATAAATTGTTATTAATCACTTAAAAATTGTCAGGACAGGCTTGCTTCAGGCCAAACCCCCATTCACACCCTTAAAATGTAAGTGTCCCTACGTGCACTACTCGTCTTCAATTGCACAAGCAATATACTGCACGTTCAAAAGTTGACCTAGCCGGCTTAATTGGTCACCATCTAACCACTAAGAGAGTCGGTTCGATATCTGATATATACATCTACAATACCTGATCTAATTGTGGATCAAAATTACAAAGATCGCAGTGTTTTATGTTAATTTTTAATTTTTTCTCTACTTATTTATTGCAGAGGCCATTTCAGGTGAAACCAGCACTGCTGCAAGTTTCATAAATTGTTATTAGATGTATATAGTAGATATCGAACCTACTTTTCGAGGTTTAGTCCTCAACTATTTGCAAAGTATAGATATCTTTGACATACCTCTTATTGTTAACAGATCAGGAGCATTTCGTTCCTGGCAAGCAACCTCCAATCCGAAGTTTCACTACACATGGATCAGACACGAGGGATTTAAGCTTGATAAGTTTTTTTAAAGGGTTCACACATTGCCTGTGTTGTTGTTCACGCTAACATGTATACCTTTTTGTTTGTCATATATCTTTCCATCACAAGATGTAAAGCAATATTTATGCATACCCGCAAAATAAAGAATTATAAAAAATGTAAGTGTCCCACTGTCCATTGGGAGGAATTGTATTGTAATAAGATTGAATAAACTCAAATGCCTACTACTATTGAATGACAGCAATGACTACTAAACACTTTAACAACTATTAAAGTGTAAGTTTAGTTGTCACCATTAAAGCAATAATTCTCCTTGCCATTTATACGGTTTCATAACCATACTCCCGTCTGTCTTATTAGAGATTTTTCCTTTCAGCTGAAAACAGTAAGTTGAATTTTTAGTTTAGATCAAACCCTGATTTTGGCAGGTGAGCATACATGTTGTTTACATGTACATGGAGGTGTGGAATAATTTTTTGGGGTTTTGTTTTCTCCATATAGTGGAGTTGAATACACAGTCATTACTCACTGACAGCAAATCTGTTGTCATGTTAAGAAAATGTCATGCTTACTTGGGACAAGGTTGAATTCCTGTTCATAAGTCCTTTGGTTTTCTTGAAGCCTGGGTCTCCTTCTGCAATTACATCCATAGTTTTTTTCCCAATAAATTCTAGGGCATCCAACCCTCCCGTAAGGACAGTCTTGCCCTACAACAAATTAGTCAGTACAATCAATAAAATAGATATAACAATACACATACTACTACTCTAATATTAACATCAAAAAAGAACAGAAATGTCTAAAACGTCTTATGAAATTATATGTGAATATAAAGCAATTTTGATTCATGCGCTCTACTTTTTCATAAGTGCCTTTCTGTAATGGAGGACACTAATAAGCGCTATGAATGGCTCCAAATTCATGTGCAACCACTGCAGTCTGATCAAATTTAACTGGTGACATAAAAGAATTGTACATTTTCTGGCAGTGTTATTTTGAGAAACACTGCTGAAATCATAAATGACGCATCACGCTTTGCATCAACCCCTGTACAATAAAAAAAAAAGATTGGTTTTCTTGCACTTTAATTAGAATTATTACAGCACTGATATAAATCTTACGTTCATTTATTCACTGCTTGATATATTGCAAAACATTGTAAAATGACATTATGAAATTGCTATTCCATCCTAAGAGCCAGCATGTGTGGAGATATAGACAGATAGTGGGTCAGAGGTCTTTAAATTGTGTGCTGTTTGTTGTCTATACTCACTGTACTTTGTACTGCTGTAGAGATACTGGTGAGGAAGCCAAATGCTCCTGTAATAGGGGATGAACTCTCACCACTTGCAGCATTGCTGGTTTCACCTGAAATGGCCTCTGCAATAAATAAGTTGAGTAGAGAAAAAATTAAAAATGAACATAAAACACTGCGATCTTTGTAATTTTAATCCACAATTAGATCAGGTATTGTAGATGTATATATCAGATATTTTGTGAATGGCTTGACAACTTACCTGGTGTCTGTGGGACATCAGTTGTCTCCTCCTAAGGAGCGTCCATTAAGTCTCCTTAGCTGAGCCCTGCATTGCAGGGTTGGTTCTTTGGCTGAAAGTGCCAGTTGATTGCTCGCATAGGTGATCCAAGTCCTGCTACACAAGGCTTAGCTAAGTGTTGCAGCGTCCAGGATGCAGAGGAGGAGGTGACAAACACCCAATGGTTCCCAAGTAAGTTGTCAAACATTTGCAAACCATTGGACTACTTACACTGGAAGGGTAACAGGGCATTTCTGGAACCATAACCATGATAGAATAGTGATTATGCAACTTGGAGTGTTGCTTTAAATATAAATAAAACAATCAATTGAAAAAAAAAAGAAAAAGTAAAGCAACATTTGGATGCAAGGGGGGCGGGAGGGGAACAACCACAGTACTTATTATGCATCTTAAACACATAGCAAAAAAAAAAAAGAAGAAAAATTGACCTCTAAAAAAGTGAACACACATAGCAGCCCCTTTGGTTGTGAATGAAGAAAACATCAAACCATATGAATAAATAGCAAGTGTTCAAAACAGGCCCATAAGAAATAAGGTAAATTGTGATACTTAAAATAAATATTATTTGTTTCTTATCATGTAAAGCATTTAATGTACACATGGTCTGTTCTCATGTCAATATAACTTTTATTTGGTTATTGGAAAAAAAAAATGGGATTTCGCATAAAATTAGCAATGTAGGATTAACTTTGATGTTTAGTAAAATATAGAAATACCAAGCAAGTATAATGCAGTATATTTCACTAGTTGACTAAAAATTGCCATTGCTGTGACCTTCACTGCAAAAATCAAAATTTCTAGTCTTTTCCACAATGCCTACATCCATCTCAGGTATCGGGACAGTAGTCTCTAAACGTTAGGCATCTAAACCACCATACTTGCCTTCTGTAGGCTCCACTCGACTTCTAAATGACAGCTCGACAGGACTGGGAACCCCCAAAGTTGTCTCAGCTTTTTCAATAGCGTTAGAAATCCCATGGCCTGCAAGAGGAGATACTATCTAAAATTACTGTATAAAAGGCAAAAGAAAAGCTTGTGTGTGCCAATTTAATGACGAGATTTTTAGCCAGTTTCTATGAAATTAGATGAGCATATATCTGGTCATCTATTTTGCCAGAGAGGGAGAGATCCACTAAACATATAACTAGTGACAGCATACAGTGAAACAATTGAAATTATGCCAAGATGGAGATAATGAATTTTCAGTTTACTTCAAAATTTGAATGAAGAACAGGCATAAACTCAAAGTGTAAAAATAAAGTGAAGGGAAAGTGTCACCCCCCCAAAACAAGGGGGGAGGGGAGACACTATACTGGCTTTAAAGATTATAAAGATTGGGGATAAAGCAAAGAATGAACTCAAAGTGATAGGTGAAAATAAAGGCTTTTTGCAAGCTGACTTTGAGCGTACATCCCTGACCTAAAAAACTTACACACATATCACATTATATTATTTTATATTACTTTGTGCTAAGCTAGCTGCTTCAGGGCCGATGTTCCAGAAGGGATAAGCCAAATAGATTTAGGTAAACTAAAAAAATGGTAAGAGCTGTGGCAACTGACATTGAATGTGGATAAGTGCAAGATAATGCATTTTGGGCATAAATATCCAAGGGCAAAATATAGAATATTAATACAGTCCTACCCTCAACATCTGAGGGTAATTATGTCAGATGACTTAAAGGAGCACTATAGGGTCAGAAACACAAACATGTATTCCTGACCCTATAGGGTTAAAACCACCATCTAGCCACCCTGGTCTCCTCATGCCTCCCTAAATATAGAAATCTTACTTGTTTTCAAGTCTGGAGTTGCATGCATTGTCACTTTCCTTTAGGCCTGCCCACTGACATCAGCAGAAGTGGTAGCCTGATCCAATCACAATGCTTCCCCATAGGATTGGCGGAGACTGACAAGGAGGCAGATCGGGGCAGAGCCAGCACAATTCAAACACAATTCAAACACAGCATCTCCTCATAGAGATGAATTGAATCAATGAATCTCTATGAGGAAAGTTCAGCGTCTGCATGCAGAGGGTGGAGACACTGAATGTTTGGATGCATTTTAGGCAGCTATGACCCAGGAAGGATCTCTAACAGCCATCTGAGGAGTGGCCAGTGAAGTTATCACTAGGCTGTAATGTAAACACTGCAGTTCCTCTGAAAAGACAGAGTTTACAGCAACGAGCCTACAGGTAATGATTCTACTCACCAGAACAAATTCAATAGGCTGTAGTTGTTCTGGTGACTGTAGTGTCCCTTTAACCCCTTAAGGACCAAACTTCTGGAATAAAAGGGAATCATGACATGTCACACATGTCATGTGTCCTTAAGGGGTTAAAGGTGGGCAGACAATGTAACAAAGCAGCAGGAAATGCTAGCAGAATGCTTGGTTGTATAGGGAGAGGTATTAGCAGTAGAAAAAGGGAAGTGCTCATGCCATTATACAGAGCACTGGTGAGAGTATTATACACAGTACTGAAGACTATCTCCAGAAGAATATTGATACTTTGGAAAGAGTTTAGAAAAGGGCTACCAAATTGGTTCATGGATTGCAGGGTAAAACTTACCAGGAAAGGTTAAAGGATCTTAGAAACATTCAAATACATAAATGGAATAAACACAGTAAAGGAGGAGACTATATTTAAAATAAGAAAAACTAAAACAACCAGAGGTTTTGGGTGTTGCTGGACGTCCCCATGCATTGTGTGAGGACGTCCGGCGCCAGTTAGGGGACCAAAAGTCGCCTACCAGCCAGGATGTCCCTCTAGTGACTGTCTGGTAGACAGCCACTAGAGGTGGAATTAACCCTAGCAGGTAATTAGTGCAGTTTCTTGAACTGCAGTAAGCCCCTGCTCAGGGTAAAGGGACCTGGCACTATGCACCAGACCACTTCAATGAGCTGAAGTGGTCTAGGTGCCTATACTGTCCTTTTAAATAAGGGCAAGGTTTAAAAATATCAGGAAGTATTACTTAACTGAGAGGGTTGTGGATGCATGAAATAGCATTCCACAGTGAGGGAGTTTAAGCATGCATAGGAGGGGTATCCTAGATAGAAGATAAGCCCAGGTGCTAATGAAAGTATTTAGAAACTTGGGCAGACTAGATGGGCTGAATGGTTCTTATCTGCCGTCACATTTTATGTTTCATAATTCAAGTGAGAGTGATATATATAGTGTAGTTTGGATTAGCCGTATTAGTCCAGTAGACAAGATGACAAAATACCAGAGTATTGCAATATGTAATGATACCTTTTTTTATTGGACTAACATAATATTTCAAAGACAAGCTTTCAAGAGTTTTCCTCTCTTCCTCAGGTGTGACGCAATACTGATCATTCTGATAGAGTTTAACACTTAAAACAACTGATGTTAGAGAAGGAGAGGGAGGGGGGATGAGTGGGGTGTCATAAATAGCAGAAGATGTGCCTGAAGGTGAAAGGTGCAGGTTGGCAGAGAATAGCCAGAATAAATAAACAGAGGAGAGTCAATAAACTAGTTAAAAAAAATAAAAATAAAAAAAAAGCAGAGCAGGGCATGCAAATATATAACTGCATATATGTATGTATATAAATTTATCCAATAAAGATGAAGCGAGAATATTGAAAAATAACTATATAAGACATTAAGATGCGTGCTTTTATAACGTTTTGGTAGTGTGTGTATATATACACACACACACACACACAAACACCATGGCACAATAACATGGGGCTGGCATACATTTTTTTCCAGGGCTGCTTCGTATCCTCAGCCCAGCCCTGCAAAAAGGGGCCGAGCATGCATGTCATTACAATTATGCCCCTCCTCCCCCTGGAACAATTCCTTCGGACGCCCATGATCAGCAGATGTTCATCTACTTCCACGAGTCTTTGTTTTTTTCTAATTGTGAATGATCTTTTTCCAATTACTTACCCACAGTGGCTACAGTGGCGGAAGCTGTGGAAATCAAGGATTTTCCCCAATTTCCCCAGTAGCCCCATCCTGATGAGGGTTTGGTCTCAGATGGCTCCTTGAAACAGAAAAGAATAAAAATTATAAATGCAGTAAAATATAAACTTAACTTTTTTCCTACTCTCATTCAATATAGCAGACAATTATATGCTTTTTATATTAATGAATATTTAAGACGGAATTTATGTAGCAGAAGTCACTCACAAGTGAGCTCAGTGTGAACAATAAGTAGCGCTTCAAAATCAACGTGTGAATAGCTGCTCTTAAACACCCGTGAGGGGATACCTTTCTTCCCTCACCATAAATACATAGAGAACAATGATTAACAGAATAAACCCAATAATCAGTGGGTGGGGCGCTGAATAATAGACAAGCAGATATTAGCTTTCCCCTCTGTATAGTAATATAAATCTCGATGTGGAGTGATACATAAAAGACAAAAAAACATAAAACAAATCTAGTGCAGATGGTATTTGTAATATACTAGATGCAAAATAAATAAAGGTAGACACACTCACAATCTTCAGAGCCTGAGGATAAGGCTCTATAATAACGCAGCTGTGCTGTTATAAGTAGCACCCCACCTTGTTGGATAAACAGGAATCTCAAGGCAAGCAAACATAGGAGATTATGGTGCGGTAGGTCTGTGTTTATAACAAGCTAAAATCACTTCATAAAAGAGGACTCTCACCTTAACAAGAGCCCATATGTGCCTTGGCTCTAAGGAGTAAATGCCTGGTGTCAATTTGTAGGGTGACACTCCCCAATCCAGAACCTGGAATCGGACTGACTACCAAATAGTATTATTAATATAAAATCAAAGGTGAATAAAAATACATAAAAACAAAATAAAAAGGGACTTATCAGTCTATGGTAGTGCAGTTCTTGTATGCCAAAACGCATTTCGCTGTGAAAGGTTCTGCAGAAATATGCTCATCGGGTTGCCCTAAGTGTATGGGCCACCTTAGTGTGTAGGCCCCCGTGCAGCCGCAATACCAGCACTGCGGGCCTATGGGGGATGCGGATGTAGGGTTGCAACCTTTAAAAAAATATATATATTTTTTTTTTTTAAATACCGGTCAAGTTAATTTGCATAATCTATTACATATGCGTGACATCGCAAGGAATAATGTGAGAGCAAATTAAAGGACAATATAGGCACCCAGACCACTTCATCTCACTGAAGTTGTCTAGGTGCACTGTCCCTGCCTCCTTTAGTCCTGAATGTAAAACACTGCAGTTTCACAATAAATAAATACGGGTAAGTGAATAAAGGTTTATTTAACTCTTAACAATGCTAGGAGGGGGAGACGGGGGCCGAAGAACATGTCGGTGTTAAAAATGCAACTTTGTATTCCAAACACTAAAGTGTTCCTTTAAAATACATTCGGAAGAGGATAATTACCCAAGTTACTAAAAACTGCTTCCAGTTTGTTTTGCGGTATGTAGGGATTGTCCTGCAGTTTGGGTAGATTGGACAGAAGAGCCTGCTCTCCTGAATGCTCATTCAGTGGACTCAGTGGCATTCTAGAAGTGTGCCCTGAGTGATGGACAGAAAGGTAAAGGAGGGAAGCTGGAGGAGGTGTAGCAACATATTCCACACTAGCAGAAAGTGTCGAACTGTGCGGCCAGTGCTATTTGCAGTAGTCAGCCACAGTAGTCTGCCATCTGACCTTAATTGCAGACAATTTAACTCTTCTGCTGCAAGGGAACTATGGAGCCTATGGACCTAGTAAAAATGTTATATACACTGCACTCTGTTACCCTGCACACCCAGAACATTCATTTCTAAGAAGTGGTGATGCCATAAAGTCCAACAAAATGCAAAATACAAATGAAGGAACAGCGCACAGAGAAAAACAAAGAAATTCAAGTCTTAAATTTTACAGGGCTAAAGTATCCCAATATCGGTGGGTCCTACGCTAATTTTAACATGGGAAATTAACAAGTTAACTTTAATACTTACAGCTTAAACAGCTTCCAGAGACTCTCCTCTCCTCAGCTTTCATGTGGTTACCACCACTATAGTGGATGGGTTGCACCATATAGTGTAATTGAATCTCCATATTTATTGCTGTTAGGTGATTTTAAGGAGCCACCGGAAAGCGTACATTAAGGAAAGTCTCTCGAAGCAGTTTAAGCAGTAAGTATTGCTGTTAGCATGGTTATCTCCCATGTTGGAATTAGTGTAGGACCCACTGAAATTGGGGTTCTATGAAGTATTGGTGGGAGAACACAATATGGCCATATGGTGGAACTAAATCCCCATATTTGTTTGCTAAGATAGGTGATTTTAACTAGCCTTAAATGTAAAACTTTTTTTTTTGTTGCTTAATCTGTACTTTGTACAGAATTCGCAAGTGTCACCCTCTGTACTTATTTAAACCAACTCACCCCCAAAAAACTTGATACTGTAAATATGATAAAAATGTTACACATGTATGTATATGTCTGTCTGCAGCCATGTTCATGTGCAATCGTGTGTGTATGCTCTATGTGTATCAGTGTTGCCAGTCAGAGCTAGAAACAGAGCCTCATTATTGGTGAGGCACATTATTTAATTTCAAAAAGAAAAAAAATATATACTTTATATTACTGATAATGCATTAGTTTGGGTATAATTTAGCATTAATGTAATGTAGTATTTTGCATTACAGTTATAGATTCTCTACAGACAGGCAGCATACTCTTAACCATACACCACTGCATTCATGCACACAGACACATCACACAAATATACCGCTGCATTATTCATACAAACTACACAAACATACCCCTGCATTCATTCACACAAACTGTACAAATATACCCCTGCATTCATGCACATAAATATCTCCCTGCATTCACGCATACAGATACATTTCACAAATATATGCCTGCATTCATGCACATAGACACATCACAAAAATACCCCTGCATTCATGCATTCAAACTGTACAAAAATCCCTGCACTCATGCACACAGACATATCACACACATATACCCCTGCATTCATTCACACAAACTATACAAATATACCCCTGCATTCATGCACACAGACAAATTGCACAAATATAACCCTGTATTCATGCACACAGACAGATTGCACAAATATACGCCTGCATTAATGCACACAAAGTGTACAAATATATCTCTGCATTCATGTACACAAACTGAACAAATATACCCCAGCATTTATGCAGTGTGATATATAATAAACCTAAACATTCACACATACTGGAGTGCAATGCACTCCATAGTGACACCATAGATTTCCACTTCCATTTCATTTCACAAACTCTACACTCTATGCTGAGATCATAGAAACATAGAACGTGACGGCAGATAAGAACCATTCAGCCCATCTAGTCTGCCCAATTTTTTAAATACTTTCATTAGTCCCTGACCTTATCTTATAGTTAGGATAGCCTTATGCCTATCCCACGCATGCTTAAACTCCTTTACGGTGTTAACCTCTATCACTTCAGGTGGAAGGCTATTCCATGCATCTACTACCCGCTCAGTAAAGTAATACTTCCGGATATTATTTTTATACCTTTGCCCCTCTAATTTAAGACTATGTTAAGACCATTTGTTGTGGTAGTTTTTCTTCTTTTAAATATATAGTCTCTTCCTTTACTGTGTTGATTCCCTTTTATGTATTTAAATGTTTCTATTATATCCCCCCAGTCTCGTCTTTCCTCCAAGCTATACGGGTTAAGTTCCTTTAACCTTTCCTTGTACGTTTTATCCTGCAATCCATGATCCAGTTTAGTAGCCCTTCTCCTAACTCTCTCTAAACTATCAATATCCTTCTGTAGATACGGTCTCCAGTACTGCATACAATACTCCAAGTGAGGTCTCACCAGTGTTCTGTACAATGGCATGAGCACTTCCCTCTTTCTACTGCTAATACCTCTCCCTATACAACCAAGCATTCTGCTAGCATTTCCTGCTGCTCTATTACATTGTCTGCCTACCTTTAAGTCATCAGAAATAATCACCCCTAAATCCCTTTCCTCAGATGTTGAGGTTAGGACTCTATCAAATTTTCTGTACTCTGCCCTTGGGTTTTTGCGTCCAATATGCATTATCTTGCAGTTATCCACATTAAATGTCAGTTGCCACAACTCTGACCATTTTTCTAGTTTACCTAAATCATTTCCCATTTGGCTTATCCCTCCTGGAACATCAACCCGGTTACATATATCTTAGTATCATCAGCAAAAAGACATACCTTACCATCAAGATCTTTTGCAATATCATTAATAAAAATATTAAAGAGAATGGGTCCAAGTACAAATCCCTGAGCTACCCCACTGGTAACTAGACCATGCCTCGAATATACTCCAGTGACTAGAACCCTCTGTTGCCTGTCACTCAGCCACAGCATTACCCATTCAACAATACTGGAATCCAAACTTAAAGATTGCAGTTTATCAATAAGCCTTCAGTGCCAAACAGTGTCAAAGGCCCTACTGAAATCTAGGTAAGCAATGTCTACTGCACCACCCTGATCTATTATTTTTGTTACCAAATCAAAAAAATCAATATTAGATTAGTTTGGCATGATCTCCCTGAAGTAAACCCATGTTGTCTCTGATCTTGAAATCCATGTGATTTTAGATGTTCAACAATCCTATCCTTTAACATGGTTTCCATTACTTTCCCCACTATTGAAGTAAGGCTTACTGGCCTATAGTTGCCCGACTCCTCCATACTACCTTTCTTGTGAATGGGCAATACATTCGCTAACTTCCAATCTTCTGGGACTACTCCTGTTAACAATGATTAGTTAAATAAATCTGTTAATTTTTGCTAGTACACCACTAAGCTCTTTTAATAACTTTGGGTGTATTCCATCAGGTCCCACTGACTTATTTGTCTTTATTTTTGACAATTGAAATAGAGCCTCTTCCTCTGTAAACTCACATGTAACAAATGACTAATTTGTCCTTTTTCCTAACTGAGGTCCCTTTCCTTCATTTTCATCTGTAAATACTGAATATTAAAATATTAATTGAAGCAGTCAGCTAGACCTTTATCCTCTTCTACACACCTTCTTTCTTTTGTTTTTAATCTAACACATCCTTTTTTACTTTCTATTTTCTCATTTGTGTGTGATTTGGAAGCTCTTATAACTTGCTTAGCCTCTTTCTGCCTAATCTTGTAGATCATTCTGTCTTCCTCGCTCTGTTTTTATATTTATATATATATATATATATATATATATATATTAATTATTAAATGCTAACTTTTTGTTTTGTACTATTTTGTCCACATCTGCGGAGTACCACAGTGGTTTCTTGAATTTTTTGCTTTTACTGACAAGCCTAATGGAATTTTCTGTTGCCTTCAGCAGAGCAACTTTTAAATAATCCCATTCCTCTTGGACATTTAAATCATGAATTGAAACAAACAAAAAACCAACAAATAAAACAAAAGCATAAAATCCATACATGTATTTAGTATCATGGTCTTTAAATCTGTACTAATGGCTCTTATTTCAAACACTGGGAATTATAAATAATTTATCCTATGTAAAAATGCATATGAATTAATGTTTCTGATAATAGACCCCTTTAACTTAATTCATTCCCCACTTTTCTTCAATAACTCCATTTAATTTTTTTTTATTTTTTTTTTATTCTTTATTTTATTTGTGCATAGAAAATTCACATCTGGCTTACAATGCCACAACAGCTAAGGTAAACATTTTTCAACATAGCATGACTGTAGCTAGGCATTAGTGGGTATAGCACAATTTTGTATATAATAATGTCGCTTATCTAGGTGTTGTTCTATGTTGCTGAACAGGAAAGATGAATTACACGATTAGACAGAGCAGGATAAGATATGGTTAATGCTATAAGGTAAGGTGTTGCTATTGCAGAATATGCTATTAGGAGGTAGATTGGCAGTTGCCTATACATATCTGCATGGTGGTTGTGTAGCTATCACTAGTGATTATGCTAAATATTTAGAAGCTTCAGGCTTTTAGTACCTCTATAGTTAGTTAATAGAGCTTCAGCTAACACTGCATACGGTTAAATGTGCAGGCTAAACCATCAAAGCAAAACTATTTTTATCGCAGATGTTATTATAATGCTTGCCCCCAGTCCGCTCAGCCGAAGCTCCCAGAGGATGAGGCAGGCCTTGGGCAACCGAAGTCCAGCATGTGTGATCCGGTCGCTCCTCCAAGCGCCTCTGATGCGGTGTATACCGCAGGTCTATCCTGACCGGTCGCTAGAACTGTAGTGTGTGGGTGTTCTGGTTCTGGTTCGGGCGTCCGGCACCACTTAGTCCTCCTTCTGCGGGTTGATTGCCGACACGAGCCCTCCCGGGTAACTTGAGATCCAGGTGAGAGGCAGATGGTGTGGATGTTGTGCCATGAATTTGGTGCACAGATTGCGACGTCCATCTGTGTCTGCACCTCCGCGGTAGAATGCGTGGGACACACAGTAGAGGCCGCCTCCATGCCGTTGTATCCTGCTCTCTTGATTCGCCTGTGTAGCTTTGTTTTGCGTGGCTGCAAGGTTTGGAGCTGGTTTCGCCGTCTCTCCGTGCGGCATGTCCGGAATGTCTGAGCTGCCTTGAGCGTGAGATGGGAGCAGGTATTCCCTTTACCGTCTGCGCACATGGCGCCCGCCATTTTAGGTGTGGCGGTCGGGATCACCCCCCCGGCCCAGTAGGGGGGGGACGGAGTCGGATCCGCGCCGGTCTATACCCATGGCTGGGTTCCGTGGTGCAGGATAGTGGGGCAGCGGCCGTCCGCCCCATTCACCGCAGGAGAAGGCCCCGGTTGGGGCAATGTGTTTTTCTCCCTCGGGGGACTGAAGCTCGGTGAGCCAGCCTCTCCCCGGGTCCAGCAGTCTCGCAGCTCTGGGTTTCTGCTCTGGCGGTCTGATTTTAGGTTGGTGAGACATGATTTTAGAGAGTAAATTTCGTTAAATTGCAGGAGCTGCTCATGCTTGCGACCGTCCGGCTCGGCGGTCCAGCCCCGCCCCCCTCTAACTCCATTTAATATTAAGCGCCTCTTCTCCTTTTCACTCACTTTACTACCCAACCCAGCCTGTTCAGTCTCCTTACCTTCTCAGAGCCTCTTTTCCTTTTCAAACCCCTTCCTTTCAGATCACTGTGACTCCTTGCCACTCTCCTCCATGTGCAGCTTCCCCTCTTTGCCCAGTCTCTGCCTGCATGTGGACCTCAGGAAAGTAGGGGCCAGGCAGTCATAGAAAGAGGAGTACACCCGGTTAAAAAAACAGCAGAGGATCCTGTGTGACAGAGCCCTCCCCAAAGGATGTACTGCTAATCGGCAATGAAGTACAGAATATATTTACAGTAAAATAAACACAGGTACCTGGTAGAGACACCTGCTAATTCAGGATGCAATGTTCTTGCTGCTTTCCTCACTTCTGCAATACCAGCACCGTCCACACAGTGGCAACCCTATTAAATAAGTGGATGGACCTGGCTTTAGGGCAGCCTGGGGGGCAAATGCCTCCCTGCCACCCGTCCCTGGCAGTGATCACAACTCAGATATTGATGACTGGTCAATATTTTAAAAACAGGCAGATGCTAAAGTCATTGTACTATCTGGCACATTTTATCTTAAGAATTTTTTTAATTTTTTTTTTAATTAATTGTCTCCGTGCAAAGGGAGCTTTAAAGCGACACTACAGTCACCAGAACAACTACAACTTATTGCATTTGTTCTGGTGAGTAGAATCATTTACTTCAGGCTTTTTCCTGTAAACACTGACTTTTCAGAGAAAATGCAGAGTTTACATTACTGCCTAGTGATAACTTCACTGGCCACTCCTCAGACGGTTGCTAGAGCTGCTTCCTACCTCAGGTCTTGCCTAGTTTTAATCACAACATTCAGTATCTCCTCCCTCTGCATGCAGACACTGAACTTTCCTCATAGAGATTAATTGATTCAATTCATCTCTACGAGGAGATGCTGTTTGGCCAGGGCTGTGTTTGACTTGTGTTGGCTCTGCCCCGATCTGCCTCCTTCACAGTCTCAGTAAATCCTATGGGGAAGCATTGTTTGGCTCAGAACAACACTTCTGATGATGTCAGCAGGCAGCTTGCTGTTCTGAGGCAAACAGGGACAAAACCAGCAGCTTCATGCTTGAATACAAGTAAGATTTTACTATATTTAGGGAGGCAAGAGAGGGCCAGGGGGACTAGATGGTTGTTTTAACACTATAGAAATATATGTTTGTGTTCCTGACCCTATAGTGCTCCTTTAAATTAAATCTAGAAAACATTAACTTGTATTAGCATTTGGGTTTTGCATCACAAGTGAGTATAGTGTTCTCTGATTTATTTTCACAGCTCTATGAGACAGCCAATTTCATAAAAACCTTTTGCTTTTGATAAATATGTTATAGATAATATAAGCAATTTTGCATTAAAGGCAACATGAGAGTAATTTGTCAAAGGGAAATGGTGAGTTAGCATTGGTAAAACCATTGCAGGCTAGAATGCACGAAATAATTACTGATTTGTAAATAACATTTTAATCATAAATTCCTCTTTTAAAAAAAGATAATTTGCCGCTCCATACCCATTCCCTACCTGTCTGAAATCTACAAGCCCTGTAATGCAGGGCCAGCTCAGTGACTGAAAGTGTCATATGGGTCGCTGGGCTTGTGATGGAATTTCGGTGAAATGTAAATTTAGTAGGCCGAGATTTCCACGTGGCATATGTGTATGTTGTGTGTGTTAGTTAGTTACACGTAGCTAAGATACTGTCATCAATGTACTGAGCATGTGCAGTAATGCAGGAACTGAAATCACACTCCTTTCTCCTTTGTTTCGGATGAGCCATGTGGTCTGCCCATATGAGGAAATCTAAATCCTGTCCACTGATTGGTTAAGGGTATGTGCGGGTGGAGCTATTAATGGGAGGAGTTATAGTTCTATAAAAAGCATGTACTCCGTGTGTTCGGACCTCAGACCTGTTTTGGAACGTTAGTTCATATGAGGCCCGATCGGTATGTTAATAAAGACCTCTTACTTCATGTAAACCTGCATCCATCTCTCTGTGTGTGGCTTCTGCATGTTTACTTGGTTACAGGATTAGATAGAGAGCAGCACCCAAAAGACCACAGATTAGAAGTCAAACCTTTAAAAAACACTTTAACTACTTACATTGTCTTTGTAATCATTTAGTTACAAAGATAAGTAAAGCAGCACTCAGACAACCTAAGAAAGGGGACTAGGGACAACTGCAGCACTTATAGGTAAACACATACCTATATCTATAAAGAAGGAAAAAAAGGAAAATGGACTACAGAAAATGTGAACACCCACAGTAACCCATTCAATTGTGAATCAATCGAACAGAGCAAAACATAAAGTCATGCTAACTAGCTAAAGACAATTATTTTTAAAGGTAAATTTAATGAGCCAAACATGGCCAGAGAAGATGAACAATCTAGTGCAAATATCATAACTTACTGGATCTTGCTTCGCTGGTGCTTTTTCTTCTTCCTCCTCTATTGATGCACTGCTGGCCTTGCTCTCTGGACGCTTACGGGTTACAGTAACAGGTTCAATATCTGCCTGTGGTTCCTCCTTGAGGTCTGTAGAGCCTGCATCTCCTGGCTCTTCTGGGGACAATGTTTGGCCCGTGGGGTATTCATTGCTGTCTTTTTCAGACATGTTTAAACCATCTAAGAAAAAAGAAGTTATCAACAACATCAATTAAAAAAAAAAAAATTTCATATTCTAAGTATAAAACAAAAGAAAAATAGATTTTGACAATTGCTAAGTTAACAAATTTCTCAAGTTCTGCCATATGAGCAATTCAGAGTTAAAGGGACACTATAGTCACCAAAACAATGTCAGCTTAATTAAGCAGTTTGGTGTATGGATCATGCGCATTCAGTCTCACAAGTCAATGATATGCCATTTAGAAGTTTAATCACTTTGTTTATTCAGTCATAGACACACATTCCTGCATTTAACTTAGACAGTATTCTGTGTAAAAAGTAATCTAATGTTTACACTTCCTTTATTGCAAATTCTGTTTAATTTAGAATTTGTGCAGGCAAGCAGCAGAAAGGTAAACAGGAGGTGGGCAGAACACACAGCACCACCACACATATGTGTACAGGCCACAAGATATCACACACATAACTCACACCCAAGACACACATTACACAGAGCCTGCGCACACTATGCCCAAGGCTTGAGGCAGGGGCCCCTGAACTTATTTTGTGTGTCACTAGATTGGGCAGACTGATATATGGATTGCCTATAAATCAAGGTGCATTCACTGATCCCGGGAAAGTCATCAAAATAAATAACTAAATTTGCTCTCTACACCCTGCAGGTCTAAACAAATTCCCAAGTTACCTTGAGAAAGTCATTTCTATTGATTTAAACTCCAAATTAGATGTGCCGATACAGAAATTTAAGTTAATCCCACATTGGAGAACAAGCCTAGTAGCCAAGGTAATAAAGAATATTTTTAAAATAAATATGACAATGTGAATATTATGTATGTAAGGAGGAGTGCATGGACTATAAAAGTAAAATTTAAATTCTAATATATAATAGTTACACACAGAGGGCACTGACACACACACAGAACACCAACATACACATTTACACACAGAGAACACTGACACACACACACTTACACAGATGATACACTCACTGAAACACACCCTCACTTATTTGACAAACACTGACAGACACACTCACTGAAACACACTCTCTTTTTTTTTGACAAACACATTTTCTCACACAAACATTTACAAATTATTTTTATTTTATTCCACCCAGCCTCCCTACTTTTGGGAGAGCTGGGGTGGATCCTTTCCCTGAGGTCCAGTGTGGATCCTTTCCCTGGAGTCCAGTTTTGGGCTTGTGTAAACTTTGTGCACTTCCAGCACTACTCCCTCGCACACTGTTTAGTGATGGGGCTGGAGTGACATCATAAACTGGTTTCTAGCATCACCACAGGGCCCGCAAGAGAACAGTGCAGATGAGAATTACACAAGCTTTGCCATTGCCAGATATACATGCTGTGAGACTTGATTGACCCCTACAGGTTCCTCCTCTTATGTGAGAGTAGTGATTTACCATGATTGGTTACTCTAAAGTGAGGAGGAGATTGAACTGCACCTATTCAGTTGACTTGGTTCTTTAAAAAGGTACTTTACAGCACTGAGAATATGTTGGACGCTTCTTGTTGTATGCTTGTATTAGATTAGGATGAGTTTTGGAGGGTTTTGTGCATCACCTGTGAGGCTCTCTATGGGAGGTGTAGGTCCCTGACGAGTTTGCTCTTAGGGACTGAAGTAACCAAAACAGCTATTTGTCTGATATTACGGCTATTGCACACACCCCTCAAAATGCTGCACCAATCAGCATCTCCTTATTGAATCAATGCATCTCTATGAGGAACATTCAGCACCTCCATGCAGAGCACTTATTTATATATAAAATATTTTACCTTATATAAAATGCCACGCATTTGCCACGCATGCGCATTAGCGCTCGTCGCGGAGCTGCAACCCAGGACCTCGGCGGATTAGGTAAATTAAGGTGTTTTAATCCTTTATTCCCTGAGGAGCACAAGGGAGGAGGGAGTTATATTGCAAAAATTACAGCTTTGTATTCCTTGCACTTATAGAATCCTTTTAATGAATTCAGTTATTGATAAAGTATTTTTATTGACCAGTATTAAGTTTCCTTTATGCTACGATGTGAGCATCGTTTTCGCGCCTGTTTATCCTTATTCTCCTCTGGGTTATTTAGAACCATACATTAATGATAACTGTGAATATTTCACCACCATTATTTTCATTATGTTTTTATCAGTTTTATGTCTAAAGTTATCTATATGGGGTGGAGAGGCATTATCGTAAAAGGAAATTTGTAGTGTTGGCAATACTGTAGCTATAGTATTCTCTATACATTATTATTTATATGGCGCCATCAGATTCCGTAGCGCTGTACAATGGGTTGACTAACAGAAATGTAACTGTAATCAGACAACTGGACGTACAGGAACAGAGAGGTGGATGGCCCTGCTCAATGAGCTTACATTCTAGAGGGAGTAGGGTATAATGACACAAAGGATAAAAGTAGAGGTACGAAGTAGGTTGTTAGAAAAGTATTCACGGAGGGCTAAGTAGGTAATTTGAAGGAGAGGAGTCATGGGGGATAAAAACCTGCTAACAATTTAATTAAAAAGCTTTCTTGAAGAAGTGAGCTTTCAATGATTTTTTTAATGAGTGGAGACTGGGTGAAAGTCTTACGGAGAAGGTAAGGGAGTTCCACAGAAGAGGTGCAGCCCTGGAGAAATCTTTCAGGCGAGCATTAGAGGTGGGAGTACGGACAAAGCATATACGTAGGGGCCTCGATGGGACATACTTGTGTATTAGGGAGGATAGGTAGGTTGGAGCCTCATTATGTAGGGACTAGTAAGCAAGCACCAGAATTTTAAATTGAGCCCTATATCTAATAGGAAGCCAATGCAGGGACTGACAGAGCGGGCAGGCATAGGAACAGCGAGCGGACAGGTAAATGAGCCCCGCTGCTGCATTCATTATAGATTGTAGCGGTGCAATCTGGGAACACGTAAGACCACTGAGAACGGTATTGCAGTAGTCAAGGCGAGAGAGAACAACAGCATGGACCAGCACCTTAGCCGCATCTGGGGTTAAATAGGGGCGGATGCGCGCTATGTTTTTGAGATGGAAGCGACAGGATTTGGTGATCGACTTGAAATTAGGGGCGAAGGAAAGGTTGGAGTCAAAAAGAACACACAGGCAGGGAGCCTGCAAGGTAGAGGTGAGGGAAGCGCCGTTAACTTGGCGGGAGGCAGACACGGGACTAGCAACACTTGAGGGAGGAAAGACCAGATGTTCTACATAGCCCATTGATACATCATTTATTTTAATCTTTCCCACTTCAGCTTTGTAACGAGTTAAAGAACCACTATAGTGCCAGGAAAACATACTCTTTTTCCTGGCACTATAGTGCCCTGAGGGTGCCCCCACCCTCAGGTTCCCCCTCCCGTCGGGCTCTGGGGGGAGGAAGGGGTTAAACTTACCTCTTTCTCCAGCGCCGGGCAGGGAGCTCTCCTCCTCCTCACCTCCCTCTTCTCCTCCTCTTCGGCTGAATGCACATGCATGGCAGGAGGTGCGCGCACATTCAGCCAGTCCATAGGAAAGCATTTTCAATGCTTTCCTATTGACGCTGGCGTCTTCTCACTGTGATTTTCACAGTGAGAAATGCTGAAGCCCTCTAGTGGCTGTCAACAGACAGCCACTAGAGGCTGGATTAACCCTAACATAAACATAGCAGTTTCTCTGAAACTGCTGTTTATAGAAAAAAGGGTTAACCCTAGCTGGACCTGGCACCCAGACCACTTCATTAAGCTGAAGTGGTCTGGGTGCCTATAGTGGTCCTTTAAGGCACAGGCAGCAGTGGATAAGTGATACAGGGTAACTATAAAGCTAAACGCCTGAAGTGAGATTACAATTTTATAATTCAGGAGATACATGTTCAAAGTTTAGTATCCAGTCAAACCCAACCAGCAGCAGTAATGCTGACTATACAGAGCCAGGAGAGCTATCTCAAGGCATGTCTCAATACAACTCCCAGCAAAGTGACAGTAATAATCCGTAATGTGGGGTCCTAGCCCCCGGTGTCCACTGATTTATATTATTATTATTATGATTTATAAACCTGTACACTGAGCAGGATAAGCACAGCGTGTTCCGTGATATCTACACCCAGTACCGGTAGGTGATGTCCGTGCAGGGTGTCTACACCTTCCAGCTGTGCGGCCAGGAGCTCCGGAGGCAGCAGCCAGCTGTGATGACGTCACGGCTGGGTGGACAGCGCACGGCGCCACGTCACTACCTAGTCCTGCAGACAGACAGCAGCCGGGGTGGGCGTGGCTGTTGCCGGGGTGGGCGTGGCTGGGCGGTCACCCGGAAGGGATATGTCACTGGAAGACTTTTCCGGGAGGAAGCTGCAGCCAGTGAGCAGAGGGAGGAGAGGTGAGGGTTAATGTGGGTTAATGTTATTATATATCGGGGGATTGAAGCCCAGTGATAGCTGTATTATCTGCACACACTGCCCTTGGCTCCCATTGCTTATTATTTACATTATCATTGTACAGGGGGCTCTACAGAGAGTTTCTGTTCATGTAATGACTAATTATTTACTTATTGTGCATGTCCTCCCGATAAGAGGTTTACTTGGCAATCCTGGAAGGATTGGACTGGGTGCTGAGTCTGTCACCCTAATGCAGCAATGCTCAAACTGTGTCTGTGAAACCATAAAGAGGGAAGTAGTTCTAGAAAACAGGCTATTCTTGCCATTGAGATATGTAATAAAGAATTGAACAGGGAGTTGAAAATGAATGCTAACTGTGCCAAACTGGAGATTTATCCTTTATGACGGGCAGTAGGTTTTGTATAGATAGGAAATATTCATGAAGTTATCATTTCCTACAGTAAATATTAAAGGAACACTATAGTTACCAGAACAACAGTTTATTGCATTTGTTCTGATGATTATAATCATTCCCTAAAGAAGTCTTGCTGTAAACTCTGTCTTTTCAGAGAAAATGCAGTGTTTATTTTACAAAATAGTGATAACTCCACTGGCCACTCCTCAGATAGCTGCTAGAGGTGCTTCCTGGGGCTGCACACTGTCATTCAGTATCTCCTCCCTCTGCATGTAGACACTAAACTTTCCTCATAGAGATGCATTGATTCAATACATCTCTATGAGGAGATGCTAATTGGCTAGAGCTGTGCTTGACTTGTGCTGGGCTGTCCCTGATCTGCCTCCTTTACAGTCTCCGTCAATCCTATGGGAAAGCATTGTGATTGCCTCAGAGAATCACTTCTGATGATGTCAGCCAAGCAGACAGATCAGGGGTGAAGCAGCAACTGAAGACTTGAATACATGTAAGTTTTAACCATTTTTAGGGAGGCAAGGGGTGGACCAGGGGGAGTAGATGGTGGTTTTAACACTATAGGGTCAGGAATGTTTGTGTTCCTGACCCTATGAGGCAATGCTTTCCTATGGGGAATGCCTATTGCTTTTAGCACATGCGCATTAGTACCCCCAACTGCTGTTGGAGCAGGCAGAGCTGGACCCAGCATAAGTTATTTAACCCTTTGCAGTGCCAAGGGGGCAGAGAAATACATATTTGTATTCCTAACACTAAATCTTTCCTTTAAAAGAGACACTGGGAGAGATGTATCACACTAAAAGTGGTGCAGTCACATTCAGCTGGTCATTACTCAACTTTTCAAAATCCTAATGCTGTGTCTGCCATAAGAATTTGTGCTATTCTTGATAAAGTTATCTGTGGCTATTTACTGAACTGTAAACTTTAAGAAATTTGAAAGAAAGTGTAGTTCAAGTTTAAACCGATTATAACAACATTTTAAAGATTCTGTCTGTTGTGATTTTAAGTTTGGCTATTTTTGTGTAAACTTTGAAATTCACTGTGAAATTCCAATATTTTCCAATAGTGAATACCTCTTATACTAAAATTATCTAAAAGGAACACTATAGGGTTAGAAATACAAATGTGTATTCCTAATACTATAGTGCCCTAGTTATCGTTTCGGTTACTGGCCCCTTTTGGCAGGGTTAGAAAGGTGAGTTTCCTCACCTTTCCTCACACATATCACTTAGTTGAGATGAAGTGCTCTGGGTGCAAGTTGTGTTCTTTTAAAGCGGCACTTTCTTGCCAAAATTACCTTTCCCCAATTGATTACTCTTTCTATTATTGATACCTTAGAGAGGGTTCAGAGAAGGGCTACTAAACTGGTTCATGGATTGCGGGATAAAGCTTACCAGGAAAGGTTAAAGGATCTTAACATGTATAGCTTGGAGGCAAGACGAGACCGGGGGATATTTTAGAAACATTTAAATATATAAAGGGAATCAACACAGTAAAGGAGGAGACTATATTTAAAAGAAGGAAAACTACCACAACAAGAGGACATAGTCTTAAATTAGAGGGACAAAGGTTTAAAAATAATATCAGGAAGTATTACTTTACTGAGAGGGTAGTGGATGCATGGAATAGCCTTCCAGTTGAAGTGGTAGAGGTTAACACAGTAAAGGAGTTTAAGCATGCGTGGGATAGGCATAAGGCTATCCTAACTGTAAGATAAGGCTAGGGACTAATGAAAGTCTTTAGAAAATTGTGCAGACTAGATGGGCCGAATGGTTCTTATCTGCCGTCACATTCTATGTTTCTGTGTTCTCTCCCTCTGTCAGGATCTGTTCTTCATTTCTTCCTGTCTGCTCTAGTTTTCTTTAAAACATAAGACAAAGCGGTTCCTACAATTCTCACCTTTCCTCCGTATTCTAGCGATGCCTCCTTTCCGTATTGCCGAACGCCGGCAAAACTACAAATTTCGTTTTAACAGAATGAGAGCAGTTCGTCCATTCCTGTTGGGACGAAATTCAGGACTTTTGTTCGGTTCGAAATTTCATGAAAAAGTTCGAGTTTTGTTCGGTATTAGGGAGCTATCTACCAAAAGGCTAAAAGACCTAAATTGGTCTTTCAGCCAACTTTACTAATACCAAGTAAAATTACCTCGTATTAGTAATTAATTTGCATGGCGAGTAGGGGCATGTCTAGTAAACAGTGAGCAGTGTGGCTGCTCACTGTTGTAATTCCTCCCTTTCTAAAATGGCGGCATCTATTAACTAGTGGGTCCCCCCTCGAGCCCCCAGCCGCCCCCGCAGGAGTGGGAGCTACGTATCCAAATGGGGTCAGCCATGGGCGGGTAGGGGCCCTGAATGAAAATGAGGCGGGACCCATTGTCCTTCACCACCCCCATCCATAGGTGGCGGTGGGGCCCTAAATGAAATGGGGGGAGACCTGTTGTCCTTCCTCCTCACCCGGGTAAAGCAACTGCAAAATCCTCCCCAAGACCCAGGCAACTTCAATAAATAAATAAAATACTTGCCATTTGATGCTTTCTAAAACCTTTTTTCAGGCCTAAAAAAGGCTAAATAAAAAGCATAATGCCCGTTTAACTAATAAAATAAAATAAAAAGAGCTATAAAAAATCACAAAAAGAAAAACCAGACTAAAACCTATCTTAGCACAGCAGGTACAGGCAGGAAAGGCTGATAAAGTCTCCCATGTCCCAATTAGGCTCAGATGCCACTGATTGGTTGGTTTAAGCCAACCAATCAGAGTGCTCTGACAGATAAATGTAGAGACTGACAGGTAAGCACTTTGGCTTTAAATCCTCTGAGTAGTTTTTTAGAGCATTGCTGTGTAATTCTGACTCATAACCTTTCTGATTTGTTGCTTTCAAAAAGAAAGCAACCAGTCAGTGTTTGGAGTCAAATTACACAGCATGGGAAAATAGGCCCCCCCATTTTTATTTAGGGCCACACTATGTCCCCGCCTCGCTAACAAAGGTGGCCTTTACCGTTAACCCTTGACCGGAGGGCGTATAATTACGCCTCTATATATAGGCGCTCTAACGCCGGCGAATTGTACGCCCAGTTTTTGCCTATTTACCTGGTCAGCCAAGCGGTCCCACGCTGGGATCATGTGGGGACTCCCAGGAGCCCCAAGGCACGCCTGTCCTCGTTGACCCCCGCCATGTGAGAGGGGTCCCAGCGAGGACCCCACAATCACATGGCCGGAATAGCTGGTTTGTATTCCTAGCAGGGGCTGCCTGTAAGGTGGTCCCCTGCAGGCTGGAAATAAAATGAAAATAAAATGTATTAGTGTAAAAAAAATATATATATATATATATATATATATATGTATGTATATATATGTGTGTATATATATGTATATGATCTAAGTATATATATATATATATATATATATATATACACATATATACGCATTACCGCCTAGGTGTATATATTATATATTAATATCAAATTAATATCAAATTACACGTAGACTGATACTGGTTAAATAAAATATATATATATATATATATATATATATATATTGTTATATATAATAAAAACATTAAATATGTAAATATCGTTAAAAATTAAAAATTAAAAAATAAAAAATTTAAAAAATATATAGATGTGTGTTATTCATTCTAACTGTATTTGATATAATATATATATATATATATTGAGAAATAAATAATATATCTATACATAAATATATAATATATATCACTATATATATACCTATATATAAATAAAAATATTTTAAAAAATTATATACATATTCATATATGTATATATATATAGATATACACATATAGATTCACATACGTATATATATATATATATTAATTCTACATATATATTTATGTAATATTTTTACATAATTAGGTATCTTAATTAATTACAATTAGCGGGACCTGCATGACAACCCATGCCGAAAGTAAAGGGAATTTAATTGGCTAGCACTATATTTAACCCTATAACTTTTCAAAACAGTAAAATGTATTACAACGATGTTATCGCCAGTAAAAGTGACGTTTTTTGCATTTTCATGCACAAACAGCACTTACACGGACGATATTATTGCTGTGATACTTTTTACTGTTTTGAAACACAAATATTTGTGTTCAGCGAAGTCTCCCGAGTACAACAGTACCCCTCATGTACAGGTTTTATGGTGTTTTCAAAAGCACCGGTAGCTCCCTCCTTGTAATAAACCGAACAAACGAAGAGGTCTTCGTTCATTTGTTTGAAATTTCAATTAATTTATTTCTTTCTGATGAATGAATAGATGAAATTCCTGTTCGCATGCCCAAGTGTTTAACTTGGCATGCGCAGGAATTTCACAGAGCTATCAAGTATGGGCAGATGACGTGTAACACAAGGACTTCAATTATCCACACATAGATGGCGGCGCCCAGGACCTAGGTCCGGGCAGAAAATAAAGATGAAAAAAATAGGTAATATGGGGGGCGACTAGGGGGACAATTGGATGGAGTGGAGTCGGGAGCGGGGGGGTTAAAACTGGATTCTGCCATGACAGTGCCACTTTAAGCAGTAACCATGTGAATTTATTAATATTACATATATTGACATAAGAATTACAAAACAATGTAAAACTGCAGATATGCTGACACTTCTTAAACCTATATTGTGTAAATGCCTTTCCATAACAGATAAGAGAACTAGACTTTGTGCTGAAATTGGACAAGCACTATTAATAAGGAATAGGTCACTAATCACTACAGTTATTTTCTTACTGCATCGGGATTGAGGACAACTACTATAAAGAGCACAGAAAGTGGTAATAAGTTGTTTGAGTGGAGGTCCATGCTAAAGATCAACGCTGTGAACATAAGGGAAAAAGCTTAGTATATTAAATAATTCATATATGTAACTTAACCCTATCTGATCTGTTTGATTTATGTAATAAGTTATTTTACATAACTAACATTTGGGTATGCATTCAATACATCAGTATACGAGTTATACTGAGAATCTTTTAAAATGATTTAACAGCATACTGCCTCTAGTCACTGATCAAATTGTAATTGATTACTACTGACTTGAAAATTTTACTCTACAATTATGTGATTGCGTGTTTCGTCTGTGCTTTCACTTTGCCTTCTTTCCTTTATTAATTGAACATTCTTTCTTACTATATGGAAATTTAATGTAAATATTTTTATAGTCCGTATTTGCCAAATTCAGTAGTGGTGTGTGTTTTAATTAGTGATCGACCGATAGTGAATTATTTATTTATTTATTTATTTTTTGAGCCGATAATCTGTGAACTTTCAGGCTGATAGTTTAACAATATTCTGTACATTTGCCTTTTGGGGAAAAAAATCATTTAATTTTTTATTAAGTGGTAAATACACAAAATATACATGCAAGTCAGATATTTTTTTTTTCTTTCAAGAATATTTATATATATATATATATATATATGTGTGTGTGTGTGTAGTGGATGCAGTGAGAGTATTTGATTAGTGAATGCAGTGTGTGTGAAAATACCCCCCCCATATTCCCCTTAATGTTCCTATCCCTTATCTTTTAGTGTGTGTGTCCCCTACCCCAGTGTTCCTTTTCCCTTCCCTGTACCTTTGTGCCCTCCCTTAAAGTTCCTCTGTCTCCCCGCCAGTGTTCTTTCCCCCCTCCCCGCCAGTGTTCTTTCCCCCCTCCCCGCCAGTGTTCTTTCCCCCCTCCCCGCCAGTGTTCTTCCTCCCGCCAGTGTTCTTCCTCCCCATAGTGTTCTTCTCCCTCCCATAGTAGCCTCCCATAGTGTTTTCCTCCCCATAGTGTTCCTCACCCTCCTCTATAGTGTTCCTTCCTTTCCTCCCTATATAGTGTTCCTCTCCCTCCCTATAGTGTTCCCTCTCCCTCCCTCTATAGTGTGTTCTCCCTCCCTATAGTGTTCTCTTCCCTCTCCCCTATAGTGTTCCTCCCCCTAGTGTTCTCTTCCCCCTCCCCCATAGTGTGTTCCTTCCTCTCCCCATAGTGTTCTTTCCTCCCCATAGTGTTCTCTTCCCTCCCTATAGTGTTTTTTCCTCCCCCATAAAGTGTTTCCTTTCCCTCCCCCATAGTGTTCTTTCCCTCCCCAGTGTTCTTCTTTTCCTCCCCATAGTGTTCTCTCCCTCCCTCCCCCCATAGTGTTCCTCTTCCCCTCCCCCCCATAAAGTGTTCCTTCCCTCCCCCATATGTTCCTTCTCCCTCCCCCCATAGTGTTCTTCCCCCTCAGTCCTATAGTGTTCCTTCCCCCTCAGTCCCATAGTGTTCCTTCCCCCTCAGTCCCATAGTGTTCTTCCTCAGTCCCATAGTGTTCCTTCCCCCTCGTCCCATAGTGTCTCTTTCCCCGTCCCATAGTGTTCTTCCCCGTCCTATAGTGTTCTTCCCCCCTCGTCCCATAGTGTTCTCCCTCAGTCCCAGAGTGTTCTTTCCCCCTCAGTCCCAGAGTGCTCTTTTCCCCCCCTGTGTCCCAGAGTGCCTTTCCCCTCAGTCCCAGAGTGCCTTTCCCCCCTCAGTCCCAGAGCAGCCCCCTCAGTCCCAGAGTGTTCCTTTTCCCCCTCAGTCCCAGAGGTTCCCCCCTCAGTCCCAGGAGCAGTTCTCCCCAGTCCCAGAGTGCCCTCAGTCCCAGAGTGTTCCCTTTCCCCCCCCAGTCCCAGTGTTCTTCCCCAGTCCCAGAGCAAATTCCCCAGTCCCAGAAAGTGTTCCTTTCCCCCCTCAGTCCCAGAGTGTTCCTTTCCCCCCTCAGTCCCAGAGTGTTCCTTTCCCCCCTCAGTCCCAGAGTGTTCCTTTCCCCCCTCAGTCCCAGAGTGTTCTTTTCCCCCCTCAGTCCCAGAGTGTTCTTTTCCCCCCAACGTGTTCTTTCCTCCCCCTCTTCCGCTGTCCCATAGTGTTTTTTTCCTCCCCTTTCCCATGGTGGGTTTTTTTCCCCTCTCCTGTCCCATGGTGGGGTTTTTTTCCCTCTCCTGTCCCATGGTGGGTTTTTTTCCCTCTCCTGTCCCATAGTGTTTTTTTCCCTTTCCTGTCCCATAGTGTTTTTTTTCCCTTTCCTGTCCCATAGTGTTTTTTTTCCCTTTCCTGTCCCATAGTGTTTTTTCCTCTCCTGTCCCATAGTGCCCCTCCTGTCCTATGTTTTTCCTCCTCCTGTCCTATAGTGTTTTCTCCTGTCCCATAGTGTTTTTCCTCTCCTGTCCCTCCTGTCCTATATAGTAGCCTCCCAACCTATAGTGCCCTCTCCTGTCCTATAGTGTTTTTCTCTCCTGTCCCATAGTGCCCCTCTGTCCCATAGTGTTTTTTTCCCTCTCCTGTCCCATAGTGTGTTTTTCCCCTCTCCTGTCCCATAGTGTGTTTTTCCCCTCTCCTGTCCCATAGTGTGTTTTTCCCCTCTCCTGTCTCATAGTGTGTTTTTTCCTCTCTCCTGTCCCATAGTGTTTTTTTTTCCCCTCTCCTATCCCATAGTGTTTTTTTCCCCTCTCCTGTCCCATGGAGGCCGGTGCGCCCTCAGGCGGCCGTTTGTTCCGCCTTATGGACACGCCGGCCTGCATGGTGGGTTTTTTTCCCTCTCCTGTCCCATCGTGTTTTTTTTTTCCCTCTCCTGTCCCATGGTTTGTTTTTTTTCCCTCTCCTGTCCCATAGTGGTTTTTTTCCCTCTCCTGTCCCATAGTGGTTTTTTCCCTCTCCTGTCCCATAGTGATCGTGAAATAAAATTAAATGCTCTCTTCTAACATAGAACATAGTAAATGGAGGTGGAAAAACACCGATAATGCTCCTGCTCTAATGCATTGTGTACCCTGGCTGTGTCCGTCCTAACATAATTGTGGAATAATTTACTTAAAGGAACACTGCAATCACCATAACCACTACATTGCACCTGTCAATTTATGTTGTATAGTTCCCCTCCAAGTGAGTCATAAATTCTATACATGGCAATCTGATTATGGCTGTTAGTTCAATCATGATAGCACTGTGCTATAGCAAAAAGTGATATCAGAGTTCTCATAAACTTGTAGCAAACCATAGCAGTTGAACAAATTTAGCAGCCGTTTATTTTTGGACTATGACAATACTAACTATTACCTCCAGTCAGCTCTTGTACTTTGCATGTCATTACACAGCATGAGATTTGTTATTTATGCTTACAAATTCTTTAATGACTGTAGAGAAAATGTGTCTTCTTCCCTGAGAGATCTAGGGAAATATATTCTTGTTTGGAATACATTTTCATATCGGCAGAATTTTAACCCCTTAAATACTGCTGTAAACAAAGTTTGTAATTGAGTTTGTTCTATGGTAACACTGACACACACGGTTTAAAAGCTACCTTGGTATTTGGCAGACCATAATGAGACCATCACAATGCAACTGATGAGAGTGGATCTGGTAATATCCATTACACTGGTTTAACTTGATATTGTGTTACTTAATGCTTTAAATTTTCACCATGTCTCACTGCATGGTTTTAAATTCATTGATATACCATTTTTACCAAGATTGATTGATTGATTGATTGATTTTTGCTAGAATTATATTAACCAGTTTAATTTGAAATAGCTTTATTCCCTTTATCTCAACAGTGTAAAAATTGTTGGAATGTATGACGTCTGAAGCAGAAGTGCTTCAATTTTCCGCTACAGTGGAATAACAAGTTTACAGATGGATCTTCTTCAGAATTCCTATTGACAGAGGACAAATTGTTAATCGTTTACATGTCCAAATGAAAGGGTCAAATTTTCTCCTGTCTCCTTTGCCTCCTCTCCTCCTCTTCACAAGCCTGACTGCGTTCCTCGCCAGCGCAGACATACTTCGTAATGGAACTAGCCCACAACAAGTTGGCCTGCACAATGCTTCATTCAATGCAAACTCCCCAGCACACCGTGACTTGATCGCTAAAGAAGGGAGCAGCATGGTAATAGAATGTAACCTTAACACCACTCAAAATGAAGATATTGTGTGGTTTAACTCCAAAGGACATCCACTGAGAGAGATAGAAGGAGGTGAGAACACAGTAATGAAAGCGTGGTTTGTAGTGCCTTAGTAATATCTTGGCTCTTCTGTAGAAATTAGAATGAAGTTAAATATTAAGTTCACATATACAGGCATTGTTTTATTAGTCTGGCATAGTATTGCATTGTACCTGGCTCCTTTTGACATTATTTACCTTCTATAATTTTTGAGCCATACAAAGACCATAAGTTAAAGAGACAGAATTCCTCGCCAAAACCTTGAGATATATGAAAAGGCATAAGGGCAACTGAATACTGTTGTACTAATAGCACTTAGAAAAACAACAGTGGTTAAGGCAATACTAAAGGTTGTGTTCATGAAATAATTTAGTACACAGATTTTTTTTAGGTTTTTGTTTTAATTTAATTTGTAACTTTAAAACAAAAGGTACCAGCAATTGAGTCTAGATGCTTATCTGTGAGAAGCATTTCTGCCCACTTTGTGATCGGGCACAAAGCAATCAGAAAGAGCACCCTCCAAGCTATATTATTGACAGCTGTTTGGTTGCAACCTTCCCACTTTATAAACGTGACAATTTATCTGCACTTAACAATATGTAAATTAAGGGATACTGTGTTAATCCCTAAAGCACTTCAGCAAACTTGGAGTGTTCATTTAAAGGTACACTGCAGCTTAGTATTATGGTTATGATGCAGTGAGTCTGCATTTTTAATACAGCCCTATAAGTGGGACTTGACTAAAACAGGGCACTTCCAATTATCAGAATTAATTCAGTCCATGGATGGAGGTAAATGGTTAAGTGCACTGTGAGCAGGTAAGCTCATTACACAGCCGCCCAAACATAAATACAAACAATACAAGGCCACGGAGCCTTTTCTCTAGTATACATGTGTATGTATGAAAACCTTTATATGTCTTTTTAGGCTAAAACAAGCTAAAATTAAGTGGTATTTACTTGCATATGACTTATACATTTATCAGCCACAACATTAAAACTACCTGCCTAATGTCATAAGGTCTCCCTCATGCTGCCAAAACTGCTCTCGACCCCACAAGACCTCTAAATGTGTCCTGTGATTTCAGGCACCAAGACATTAGTAGCAGGTACTGCAAGTTGTTAGGTGGGACCTTTATGAAATGGATGTTGTTCCAGCACATCCCACAGATACAAGGAATGTGTAGGCCTGCAACAATGTGTGGTCTGCAACAATCTCTAGGAGGTGGTACGTGTCAGATTACCAGAGTAGCATCCATATGAATGTCAAGGTTTCCCAGCAGACTGTTGTCCAGAGCACTGCCTCCTCCGGCCTCCTTTCTTCCAATAGTGCATCCTGCTGCCCTTTCCTCCCCAGGTGAACATCAGATCAGGCAATCTTCTTCAGATTTCTCCATGGTCCAGTTCTGATGTTCATGCTCCATTGAAGGCTCTTTTGGTGTGGACAGGGGTCATGTGTACTCTGAGCAGTCTGCAGTGCGCAGCCCCATGCACGGCAAACTGTGGTACAATGTGTGTTCTGACACCTTTCTATCATGGCTAGCATTACGTTTTTCATCAATTTGAGCTACAGTAGCTCTTTTGAGTGATCGAATCAGGTGGGCTATCCTTTTCTCCCACGGTTCACCAGTTGTCCTTACGTGCACCATTTTTGTACAGGTAGGTACTAACAAGTGCATACCAGGAACACCCCAAAAAACTTACCATTTTGGAGATGCTCTGGCTCAGTCATCACTATTTTACCTTGTTAAATCATTCAGGTCTTTTCGCTTTCTAATTTTTCCTGCTTCCAGCACATGAAATTCAAGAACTGACTATTAACTTGCTGCCTAAACTAACCCACCCCTAGAAAGGTGCCATTTAACGATAAATCAATATAATATGACTTTACTTGTCTTGTTTTCATGTTGTGGTTTATCAGTGTATTCTGCATGAAGGATACTGCTATCATGGGGTCTATCAACTGATGTTGGATGTATTTATTTTGGAGGGGACTGTGGGTTAAACAAAGGTTTTTGTTCTTTGGCTCCTGAAATATATATATTTTTTTAATGTTGACCGCTAAGTATTTTTAGCTTGGCTTCTAAATTCTACAGACATATATCAACATTTGCATTAAACCCCCATTGTTTTCATTTTATTTTAATAATTTATGTATATTATCCTTTTAATCTTTAGGAGGAAAATGGCTGATTTTATCCAGTGGAGCTCTAAATATAACAAGTGTTACCTTTGCTGATCGTGGTCAGTATACCTGTATGTGCCCTGCTGAAAATGGCACCTCATTCTATACAGTTACTCTCAGGGTCACCTTCACTTCAGGGGACATGGGTATCTACTATGTGATTGTCTGTTTGGTCACTTTTACCATCACCCTGATTTTGAACATTACCCGACTATGTATGATGAGCAGCCATCTGCGTAAAACTGAAAAGGCTATTAATGATTTTTTCCGAACAGAAGGAGCAGAAAAACTTCAGAAAGCCTTTGAGATAGCCAAACGCATCCCTATTATAACATCTGCTAAGACTTTGGAGCTGGCTAAAGTAACCCAATTTAAAACAATGGAATTTGCTCGTTATATAGAAGAATTGGCCCGCAGTATCCCTCTTCCTCCACTTATTTTCAATTGCAAGGCCTTCATGGAAGAGATGTTTGAAGCTGTGAGGTTAGATGATCCTGACCAGGTTGAGAAGGAGAATGGAGGTGGTATTTACACAATCAATCCCCAGTTGCCACGCAGCGGATCACCTTCTGGTGACTCTGATGACAGTTCTGTCAATGGGCAAGAGATAGCTGTAAATGTTTCTGTCCACCCTCAAATAGAAACTCATAGTATCCACACCAACAACTCCCAAGACAGCTATCCCATAACCGTTCCCGAGGAAATCATTGCTATGCTAGATCCAAACCCTGCATTAGAAGATAATGCACAAGTCTCCTCTGAGTCTTAAATTTTACCTCAAGTCTGTTACATTGTAACTTTTTCTGAATCAGTGGGTGAAAAACCTGTGATGTATTGATCATTCATCAGGCAGAGATACAAAGTTTGCAATATGCGTTATGTTTTGCCACAAATACAAACTTTATGCCAGTTTAATTTCCACAGGTTATATTTTATTAAAATGAGATTTACTGAAAGTTTGTAGTGAGAGGTATCTTCTAAGTGTGGGGTAAACTGGATCCGTATCAATAAGGCAGAATTCTATGAAGTGTTCTGCAGTGGTCCTGTCATTTGTAACTCTGCAATGCAAAACATTTTAGGTTTGTAGAAACTGCAATATTTACATTGCATAGTTACATACCTCTAGTGACTGTTTTCCAGACAGTCGTTAGAGGCACTTCCTCTGCACTGACAGATTGAAATTCAGTCCCTTGACATTGCAGCTCGTAGGAAAGCATTGAATGCAATACTTTCCTATGAGATGCATGGGTGGCACTTGCAGCACATGGGCATCAGGTCCCTAATGCTCCTTTATGAGGAGTATTAGATTAGACCGGTGAATAAGCAATGCTGCTTGATGATCAGAGAGAGCCTCTGCACTGGAAAAAGGTACATTAAAAAAACCCAAAAACTTTTGTGTTAATATTTTAATGGCACCTTTAATTCACCTGAGTACAGATGAAAATAATGATTTTTGCACTTTTTATTCTTGCATTACTTATCTTTGTTTGCAATCAAGCAGACCCATATACATGTAAGTGTTTCAGTTGTAGCTAAATATGCTGGACATGCCTTTTTTTGTTTTTTTTAAGCTTAAAGGGACACTAGAGTCACCAGAACCACATCAGCTGAATGTAGTTCCCCTGGTGTATTTACTGAGGTGGACAGACCAGCACTTAAAATGCAACAATAGGACGCTTTGTAAACCTGTCCTTTTAAGCTACATTAAAGAAATGTGCATAGTGCATGTATTTTCAAGTAGGTAGGTGTGTCAGATATTTGTAGACTTTTCAAACCTGACCAACTTGTTGAGGTCACAACCTTGTTTGTTTTAGGAGCCGTGACGGTGACACATCCATAGGGTTCTTTAAAGAAAAATCTAGAATTAGAAACCATCAGTAAAACTGGATGGATGCAATGTGTCCTGTGGTCTGTTAAGCCGTGTATGAAACTGTATTTTATTTCCTCCATTACTGGGCTACACACTCAGAGCTGTTATGGTTAACCTGTACACTGCAAATGTTGTGAACTATATTTTCCATGATGCTCAGCCAGCTGCTTATGATTTTTCTGCCTTAGAAGAATCAGCTGGCTTTTCATGTCAAAGTAAATGTCATAACAGGTTTCTTTGAGTGATTGCTAAGGTTGACTTTAGTATTTTCACGAAACCTCACAGTAAATCATTTCTATAGTTTCATGCTGTTACACTCATGCTGTCCCAGAAACGTGTAAACAAATTAGCATATTTATTCTGTGAAATGAAACGTTTCTCCCTGGTCTGCTGATTATTTTTGAGACAAATAGATGCATATTTTTCCTTAGTATTATAGTTTATTTTTCTTACACTTTCCAAAGAATGGCAATACAAATATTTACATAATCTTTGCAGTCTTCATGGATTTCTACAATCAAAGAAAAATATAGAATTGTGTGTAAGATTAAAACAAATAAAAAAATTTATTCTTTTCAAGGAAGTGGCAAATGGTTACATTAGTAGGAAGGAGGTATAGTGAATCCAACATATCTGCATGTTTTGGTAAAAGGATATTTAGATTTGCATTCTATGTTCTTCCCACTTCTGATTATTAGTGATTTTATATTTCTAAAGACTTTCTAAGCATCAAGGGATATGTAGTTTTAGAAACAGTACCACATATAGATGTACTGTAGTCTGTGGAATGAAACAAAATCAAGAATAAAACATATGCCCTTAAATAGCAAGTGGGCAGGTTTGATATCACCGTTTTATACATTTTCTAAAGTGTGATTTCATGTTACGTGATTTGTTCGTTTTTATAGCGTAAATTGTTCAATTCACTTTGTCTCCCAGTTGTGACACAATATTGTGTTAGTATATAACATTTTTAGACTTAAAGGAACACTATAGTCACCTAAATTACTTTAGCTAAATAAAGCAGTTTTAGTGTATAGATCATTCCCCTGCAATTTCACTGCTCAATTCACTGTCATTTAGGAGTTAAATCACTTTGTTTCTGTTTATGCAGCCCTAGCCACACCTCCCCTGGCTATGATTGACAGAGCCTGCATGAAAAAAAAAAACTGGTTTCATTTTCAAACAGATGTAATTTACCTTAAATAATTGTATCTCAATCTCTAAATTGAACTTTAATCACATACAGGAGGCTCTTGCAGGGTCTAGCAAGCTATTAACATAGCAGGGGATAAGAAAATCTTAATTAAACAGAACTTGCAATAAAGAAAGCCTAAATAGGGCTCTCTTTACAGGAAGTGTTTATGGAAGGTTGTGCAAGTCACATGCAGGGAGGTGTGACTAGGGTTCATAAACAAAGGGATTTAACTCGTAAATGGCAGTGGATTGAGCAGTGAGTTTGCAGGGGCATGTTCTATACACCAAAACTGCTTTGTTAAGCTGAAGTTGTCCAGGTGACTATAGTGTCCCTTCAAGGCCTGCCTTTTTGTAAGGTCAAAGGTGTTTGTTTTCAAACTCTTAGGATCCATATAACTCATCAACAATCATTTCTATGTTTAGCAGTGTTTGTGATTAGTTATTTTTGCTTGTTTTGGATTGTAATTGTGATGTAACATTGTTATGTTTAAACTGTATATGAAATAATTAAGGATTTTAATGTAATCTATTTAACCCTATGATCTAGATGTGTAGAAGTGAAAGTTGATGAAAAATGCAACATTTCCGTTGGTTACGTTTTTTTTAAATCCTATTTCAAATAGGCGTATTATTTTTAATAATCGATTGTTGGTGGTAAACGTTAGAAATGACATGCGTAGAGTATACACATTATGACAAACAGTCCGCAACAACTTCAGTTGCAATGGTTCTCTCACAGGCATAAAATGCCCATACCTCTTTAAAAATAGCTACAGCTTTTTCGCTACAGTATTGTAACAAAGGAAATAGACCACAATTGACTACAGTATAGTTTTCCAGGTATGTGGACTAATGGAGTATTATAGTTTGTCATTCATTTCAAGAGATATCTAGCATTTTAATCTTTGACTTACAAAGATCTGCTCAAGTGTATCTGTACAACCAAGCCAAAGCAACAGATTCTAATTAACCTCAATGTCAGAGAGTTCTTTTCTCTTTTGGCCAAGTTTTACTATATTTATTACCTGAGCATTTTATACTAAGTATATTTTGAATCCTATAACCTGCATATGTGTTCAATGTTGCGATCCTTTTGAAGATTAAAAAAATAATAATAAATCATATTTAAGAAGCCAAATGAATGCACCCAGAACTAGTTAAAGGGACTCTCCAGTGCCAGGAAAACAAATCCTGCAGTCCTGTCCCTTTAAGTGCAGGTGTAACAAAAAACAAGGATCTGCCAACTCCACCATGTACACAGTTATTGCAAGTGTAACTTTATTACCACAACCGAAGGATAGCAGTATATCTGTATTGCAAGTGCTTCTTTTGATTGGAATGTTCAATTAAATACTACACTCCATATACTTGTTTTATAGATATCATGGCCCTGAATATTCCACTCTTTAGTGGAATACACTATTTTACTTCCTTAGCATTATTAGTTACACAACTCTTTACTTACATTTAACACGAGAGGTTTAAAATGATTGTGCTGAATTACAAATAATTGCAACGCATCCACATTTCTGTAGTTATTTAGATGATAATATAGTGACCACTCACCTGTCATTTGGGAGTTTCGCATTATTTATTATTTTTATTTTGCTTTTAAAGTGGTCAGTCATATGAATATATAGTAACCTTACATCCGTTAAAATGAATGACATTTTTGTTTTGAGGCTTTTTAGTAACTTTTTACAATCAGTAACTTGAATACGCTCTGATGTGCTTGAAAATAGTTTGGAGCGGTTGCTGTTCAGAAGGGTGTTACTGGTTTCAAAACATCAGCTATCAATTTGGTGTTCTTTTTCTTTAAAACGACCACCAGTGGTGTAGTTAAAATCGCCAGTTTTGGTCCAAGAGTGAGAAAAGTTTATTGCACCCAACATTTCTTTTTCTTTTTTTATTAAATTTTTTTTCCCGACAATATCAGTATGGCTCATGGAACAATAGACCATTGTCTGGCGTCCTATGACTGCTATAGTGTTGTACATCCTCTGAATACTGTAATGGTGATTCAAAGTTATGGATTAACTCTGACATAGTTACAATAACATGATCTAGCTGTAGTTTAGTTTAGATCTCTGTTGTGAGCCCTGTGCTTTTTTCCCCTTCTTACTGAACATCTGTTATGTGATTGAGGGCAGAGAGGTACTTGTGATCCTACAGTTAAATGTCAACCTCCAAGATTCTAATTTGACCAAAAAAAAACTAAAGACCAGCAGATTTCATACAAGTGTTCTTCCACATTTGTAATATTTACCTTTCTAGTTGTGTAAAAGTTTAGCCAACACCGTTTCAGTACTATGTGAGATATTTTACTTACAATAACTATTACAGCAGAAATGTCATGTGAAGGAATTTTGCACAAGCCAATAGATCACGTGGAACAAACAGGGAACAGCACATTGTCACTTCCTGAGAAGTGATAGTTTGGTTTAGAACAATTTTAAAATATGTAGAGAATATATGTTTCACATAATTTCATGCATTGTATGTTTGCTCTGCCATCATCAGATTGTTTTTGGGAGAAATAAATATTTGCAGGAAGACACCAATCTTTTGTGTTTTAAATTTGCCTTACAATACATTTTTAATAAATTGTGGGTTAATGTGCCCAGTCCTGTATTTTTGATATTGCTAAATGTAGCAGATCTTGAACTTTTCATGAAATGATTTATTAAAATGAGACTATTCTACCTTGCTGTGTACCTCATTTTTTCTGATTTATTTTTTGTCTACATTCTACACATCTTTAGTGAACACCGCAGAGGAATGTTGATATAGTTCCATCATATATCTATTTAATTTAATCTGACTGTAAGTAAGAGTAAAACATTTTGAGCAGAAACACTGCAAAATTCAGTCTCTGGATAGTTTGGTAACCTGGCTCACTGTGACATCTTCTGAATGGTTATACATTTGCTTATTTATTTATATTTTACTCAAAAATGCTTATTTTTGCTTTTTCTTCTCCCATAAAGATAGAGCAAACACTATGAGGGGTATTCGCTAAAATGAGAATTCAAAGTGAATTCCCGAACTGGTAGCATTGCAGTGAATCTTTCCAGTTCAGCTATTTTGCTGTGAAATTTAAAAAATCACTTTGCATTCTCATTTTTGTGTACAACCCTGATCGTATACAGCCCGAACAATAAATCATAGATCAGGGGTAGTGCTTTTGGTATTATTTTTTTTTTTTTGTCAAAGTTGAAACTTTTAAATCCTTAAAGGGACATTATAGTCACTAGAACAACGACAGCTTAATGTAGTTGTTCTGGTGAGTATAATCATTCCTTTCAGGCTTTTTATGAATTTTTATTCAGAGAAAAGCAGTGTTTACATTGCCCCCTAGGAACATCTCCTGTGGCCACTCCTCAGAAACAAATGCTCACTTGATCTATATCCATTCTCTTCCACTCTCCAGTCTCCACTTTCTACTTTCTCCCCTGTCAATTACCTCCCATCATAATGTTGTCATTTCTACTGCTCTAGATATTGCAGCACCAATTACCAGATTTTACTAATTTCATGACGTAAAGTCATGATTTTATAAAGGACACGGAGGCTCATATTGTGCTTTCTCTTTCTTTATTGTACCTCAGCAGCAAAGAAAAAGAAATGCATAAACATAAACGAAGTCAAACTGAGTACTCAAGGGTTAACATAGTCTGATAGTCCAACCAATAGGAACAGTCCATCCATCAATAGCCACCCATGTGACCTTTCCTCTCCCTCTTTCTTTGGTGTTGCCGAAGTCGAAGTATAAAACTGTGCGAAATGCCTGAACTCCTAACCGGCATGTCGCTGTCTCCTCCATAACAAAACGGTAAACAGAAACTCAAACGAAGCTGGAAACCTTATCCTCCTTGTCAGTGGCGTGGAGACGTCAAGCTGAAAAAGGGAGAGAGAGAGAGATATGGTAACGTGTGATCCCGTAACTGCATGTTATATGTACTAGCACCTTGCTTTATTTACATCTAGTAACCTACAGGTCTACATGCTTATCCTAGACTGTCATACATTCACCTGCCTGAAACATACAAAAAACAAACGTGTCAAGCAACCCATAAAAAAAAAACAAAAAAAACATACCATGTGGACTTATTGGGTGGGAGTCTGGAAGATCATAATAGTTAATACCAACCTCACGATACTCACCATGCCATCGTCGCGATCTTCCTGGGTGGGCCAATACTCGCCTCCGTGTCCTTTATAAAATCATGACTTTACGTCATGAAATTAGTAAAATCTGGTAATTTTATTAAAGGACACGGAGGCTCATATTGTGCTAGTTTAAAGCTGAGCAACGACTGACATGTTCTGGAGGTCGAAAATAATATTCCTTAAAGGTGGACTCCCGTGACCAGTCCGCAGTACGTAAAAGGTCTTCCAGTCTACAACCTAGCGTAAAAACCTTGGTCGCCATTGCTCCTCTCGTGGAGTGTGCTTTATATATCGAGGTATCAATATTAGCGGAGGCCATTATCCATTTTACCCATCTAGCTATCGTAACTGTTGATACTGGGTGATGTGGAGTTTTGGTGGAAATGAACAATTCATGTCTAGTAGGATCTCGTAATGCCCGTGTTCTCTCTTCATATTCTTTGAGGCAGAGTACCGGGCATAGGTTTTCATTATGTGGAAACGTTGGATAGGATACTGTCGATATTGCCGTTTTTGTACGTCTGGAAATGTGAAACGTCACCCCTGACGGAGTGAATGAACGTGCGTCCACATCCAATGCTCGCACCTCGGAGACTCTTTTGCACGATATCAAGCAGAAAAGCATTGCCAATTTTGCTGATAGTTGTTTCAGTGTAAGATCTGAATTTCGAGGCCACTGGTCGAGGAGGTTCAAGACCAAATTTACATCCCACGTTGATGTGTATATCTAGGTCGTGGTGGCCTTGCGAAACGAACACCTCTGAGGAGTCTGCAGACCATCGCGTGTCTCCCTATTGGTGCACCGTCCAGACCCTGCGCCCAGGCCCCTGCCAGTAGCTCCAGCGTTGTCCGTGGAACCTCTGATATGCTTGGGAATCCCCGGAAAGCAGCCATGCTAGCAATCTGAGATGTCCATGCAGCGCCAAAGGGTGCGAGTTCCCCTCCGGGTCCGTCAATAGATGAGGGTCCGCTGGTAGCATTCTGGGGAAGTCGATAGACATCTCCATGAGGGACGGGAACCATGGTTGCGACATCCAAAAAGGTGCGACCAACACCAATGTCGTCTGTGAACGGCTGAGGTGAACCAATGTCCGTGCCAGCAGGGCGAACGGTGGGAAAGCGTACAGTCTCTTCTGTGGCCATTGTTGGAGGAACGCATCCGTCGCCACTGCATCCGGGTCCGGTCTCCAGCTGAAGAATTCTGGTAGTTATGTATTCAACCGAGACGCAAACAGATCCACGTGCAGCGGGCCCCACAACGTCTGCAGGCGCAGGAATATATCCCGCTTCAAGCGCCAATCGCCGTTGTCCCGTAGGTGTCTGGAATTCCAATCCGCCACTGTGTTCGATAGGCCCGGGATGTATTCGGCCCGTACCGAGATGTTGCGGTCCAGACAAAACTGCCAAAACTCCATGGCCAGATCCGCCAATAGCTTGGATCTTGTGCCGCCCAGGCGGTTGATGTACTGCACTGCTGATATATTGTCCATCCGTAGGACGACAGAGCAATGGGTCCTGGTGCCCAGCAGGCTTTTCAGTGCGAACGATCCCGCCATAAGTTCCAGGCCGTTGACGTGCATCGTCTTTTCCGAATGGGACCATTTTCCGCCTGTGGAAGTACGCCCACAGCGCGCTCCCCAGCCCAGTGTGCTGGCATCGGATTCTATTATGCAGTCCGGAAGGTCGCCAAAAATCGCTCTCCCGTTCCAAGCCTCCATGTGCTGCAACCACCAGTTGAGTTCTGCTCTGGCCGTGTGATCGAGCGGTACGGAGTCTGAATAAGAGAGACCCGATTGAAGATGTGTGGTCTTTAGTCTCTGTAGAGCCCGGTAGTGGAGAGGCCCTGGGAAGATCGCCTGGATGGAGGCGGAGAGGAGTCCAATTATCCTGGCCAGTTGGCGCACCGTGAGTGTCGGTTGCCGTAGCGATCTGTGAATCTCCTTTTTGATGACTTTGATCTTCCCTTGCGGCAAGTTCAAGGTCCCTTGAACAGCGTTGATGGTGAAGCCCAGGAATTCCATGGATTGCGAGGGAGTCAATACTGACTTCTCCCAATTGATGAGAAACCCGAGGTTGCGTAACAGGTGAATTGTCCATGACAGATGCTGTCGGAGCATATGTACCTCTTGAGCCATAATCAAGATATCGTCTAGATAGACGATCATGCACACTCCTCTGCTGTGAAGCAGGGCCACCGCCGGTTTCTGGAGCTTCGTGAAGCACCATGGGGCGGATGACAGGCCGAACGGGAGGCACCTGAACCTCCACATTTGACCGTCCCATGGGAACTGGAGGAGGTGGTGGCATTCCTCCGCTATTGGGACGGTAAGATAGGCATCCTGCAGGTCCAGTTTGACCATCCAGTCCGACAGCCTGAGCAGGTCCCGCAGGCAATGGATTCCCTCCATTTTGAAGTGTTGGTAACGTACAAATATGTTGAGGGGGCGTAGGTTTATCACCGGTCTTACCCCTCCACCTTTTTTGGGGACCAGGAAGAGGTTGCTTAGGAAACCCGAGGAATGGGGCGCGACTCGGTAAATCGCGCCTTTTTCCCGTAAAGGTCTGATTTCCAGCGACACGAGATTCTTGTCTGTCGAGGAAAAGACCATGGGTCGGGGGGCCGCCAGTTGTAATGGGGGCTGTACAAAGTCTATCTGGTACCCCGCTACAGCATTGAGAACCCAAACATCGGATGTGAGGCTTTGCCATGCCTTGAGAAAATGAGCTAGTCTGCCCCCTACGGCTGAAGAATAAACCCGAGAAGGAAAGATGGTACTTACCATAAGGTCGTCGGCCATATGTAGAGCCTCTACGCCCTCTGGGTTGCCATGGCCTGCCCCGGACAGGGAAAAATGGTGTAGGGTTCCTGACCTCTGGCATCTGGGTGCAGGGGAGCCTTGGTAGCCCCGATAGGAGCTCCGTGAGGACCGGCTGGACAGACGGCTCCGGTGTCTGCCAGCCCCCCCGAAAACCTTTGGAGCGAACACCCGCTTTAAGTTTGATTGTGCCTTATCCAGGGCGGTGAACATATTACCATAGGTGCTTAACAAAATTATCCCCAAATAGGAGACCCTTTGCCTGAGGCCCGGGTTCCGCAATGGCCATATTGACCAACTTCATGAGGACAGCCTTTCGTCTCTCAGTACAGAGAGCGGCATTGGAGTTGCCAATGAGACAAATTGAACGTTGCGCCCACTCCCGGATAGCCAGGAGGTCCACCGGCGTGCCATTTGAGATTGTCTCTTCGACCATGTCGAAGATTTTTGCACTGGGGCCCAACGAGTCTAGCACCTTATCCTGACAATGGCGTAAGGAATAATCCAGGCCCTTTTTGGCTTTCCAGCCCGATCGTCCCAGAAACTGGGCAATCTTTGGGTCCAATTCTGGCGTGGTGCACGCCAAATCAGGTACTGTTGGGCGAGGGCATTCGGCCCGCAATTTATTTCTAGTAGCCTTGTCTAGGGGCTTCCTAATCCTGGCCGCGATATATTGGGCCACATCGTCCGCCGGGAACCACTCGGTCGACCGAGGG